ACCAGGCTCTGAGCTGTCAGCACAGAGCCTGATGCGGGGCTGGAACCCACAAACTGTGAGACCATGACCTGAGCCGAAGTTGGACTCTTAGCCAACTGAGCCACCCAGGAGCCCCTTTAATGTTTATTTTTGAAAGAAAGAGAGAGAGAGGGAGAGAATGAGAACTAGTTGGGGAGGGGCAGAGAGAGAGGGAGACGCAGAATCTGAAGCAGGCACCAGGCTCTGAGCTGTCAGCACAGAGCCTGACACAGGGCTTGAACTCATGAACTGTGACATCATGACCTGAGCCAAAGTCAGATGCTTAACCAACCGAGCCACCCAGGTGCCCCTTCACTACTTAAATTTTTAAAACTTCTGTAGAATCAGACTTCTGGTGTTCCAAGTCTGGTGCTGCCACTTGGAAACTGGGAGACTCCAGGTTAGTTACTTATCCTTTCTAGTTCTCAATGTTCTCATTTGTAAAATGGGGATAACAGTAGTACATACTTTGTGATGTAAGCTTTATTTATTTATTTTAAGATATTTTATTATTAGGGGCATCTGGGTGGCTTAGTTGGTTAAGTGTTTGACTTCGGCTCAGATCATGATCTCACAGTTCACGAGTTCCATTCCCACATTAGGCTTCGTGCTGACAGCTCAGCAGAGCCTGGAGCCTGCTTCAGATTGTGTCTCCCTCTCTTTGCCCCTCCCCCGCTTGTACTCTGTCTCCCCCTCTCTCTCTCTCAAATAAACATTAAAAAAATAATAAAATATTTTATTATTTTTACCCGACATGGGGCTCAAACTCACAACCTTGAAATCAAGACCACGTGCTTTACTGACTGAGCCAGCCAGGTGCCCCTTGCAGTGTGAGATTTAAATGAGTTAGCCCACAAAAAGCATTTAGAATGGCATCTGGTATATTGTAAATGCTCAATAAAGCTTAGCTATTAGGGTTATCACTACACCATTTACAAAATGAAAAATGACATTTACAAAGTTAAAAGATAAGTCACAGACCAGGAGACAATTTTTGTGACATAGTAAAGAGGCAAAGGGTTAATATCTATAATATACAAAGAGCTTCTACAAGTCAAGAACTCCTCCAGCAAACCTAGCAGAGAAATGAACAAAGAATGTGAATAGGTAACTAAGAGATGACATTCAAATGGCCAGTGAACATGTGGAAAAAAGTTCAACTTCATTAACAGTGAAAGAATGCAATCACAACGCTATTTAGATACCATCACCATTTGTTTTTTGGCCTCAAATTAGAAATATTTGGTGTTGGTGAAAGTGTTGGTTGGATTAAAATGATTCCACTTGAGAGCGACATTGGCAATGTCTATTGAATGCAAAAATTGTAAACACTTTGCGCAATGTCACTTCTAGGATCCTATGCAATGAATGTAACTGTATTTCAGCATGTGTGCAATACACAAACTTTGGAAACAAACATAAATGATTATCAGTAGGGGAAGGAGACACTCATTTAACAGACTCCTACTGAACCTTTAGGAAGAATGGAGTAACTCACTATGAACTCACCTTGAAAGATGTTAATTGAAAAAAGCATAATTGTAGAATAATATATACATTATGATCTCATTTCTGCAAAAAATAAAAAGTGTGCACATGTGCATATATATGTATGCATATACATTTACATCTGCATTAACATTAAAAAGTCTGGAAGATAGGAACCAAAATGTCAACAGTGGTTTCCTCTGAAGTGTGAAATTCCTTCCTTCCTTCGGCTTATTTATTCATTCAGCAAATGTGTATTTAGAACCTACTACATGTTAAGCACAGTGTTAGGCCCTGTGGATACAGCAATACTGAAATGGACAAAATCCCTGTCCTCATGCACTTTACATTCTACACAGGGAAAATGATGGTAAAGAAATAAAATATACAGCATTTCAGATGGTGATATATACTATGGGGGAAGATAAAGCAGAGAAGGGAGAACAAAGAGCAGTTTGCAGTTTTAAATATGGTGGATTAAGGGGCTCCTGGGTGGCTCAGTTGGTTAAATGTCTGACTCTTGGTTTCTGCTAGGGTCATGATCCTGCAGTTTCTTGAGATTGAGCCCCGTGTTGGGTTCTGTGCTTATAGCTCAGAACCTGCTTGAGATTCTCTCTCTCTCTCCTCCCCACTCATGCTTTCTCTCCCTCTCTCAAAATAAATAAATAAACATTTTTTAAAAAATATGGTGGCGGCGCCTGGGTGGCTCAGTTGATAAGCATCCAACTTCGGCTCAGGTCATGATCTCACGGTCCCTGAGTTCGAGCCCCACATCAGGCACTGTGCTGACAGCTCAGAGCCTGGAGCCTACTTCAGATTCTGTGTCTCCCTCTCTCTCTGACTCTCTCCCACTTGTGCTCTGCCTGTCTCTGTCTCTCAAAAATAAATAACGTAAAAAAAAAAACCTTAAAAAATAAAAAAATATGATGGATTGAAAGAGTAGAGGGAACATTTCATGTATTTATATACTTAAGAAATGGGAGGATTAGCAAATGTTGTTCTTTCTTTCTTAGTATGTGGGTGATTTTCTGTATATTACAAGCAAACAGTATGAAAAGAGAGAAAAAGTTCTAACAGTGAAATTTCTGACTTGGGGGTACAGCATGACATTTGGGGCCAATTTATTTTTCTTCCTCCTACATCTTTGAGTGCAGAAGAGAACGTACAATGTAAGAACCTCTTCATCTCTCTTCCTTACTCGTTGGAAATATTACTGGCACATCAACTGGTATGTCACTTTTGTTATTTCCCCCAAAGATTTGCTTTCTTAATTATATTTGCCTAAGAGCATTTTACAAATTCGTTTGCATTTTGAAGAACCAACCTACAGGGAAACCTTACAAAATGCAAATTGTTTATCTGTGGGTGAGGGGGGTAATCCCATTAATCCCTTGGTGACCCTGATTTTATTAGCTGTCCCCATGAGATAGAAAGGGATTCATGCTGGGGCGCCTGGGTGGTTAAGTTGGTTAAGCGTCCGACTTCTGCTCAGGTCATGATCTCACAGTTCATGAGTTTGAGCCTCACATTGGGCTCTGTGCTGACAGCTCGGAGCCTGGAGCCTGTCTTCGGATTCTGTGACTCCCTCTCTCTCTGACGCTCCCCCGTCTCTATCTCTCTCTCAAAAATAAATAAACATTAAAAAAAAAAAAAAAAGAAAGAAAGGGATTCATGCTAAGGAATAAAACTTAAGAATTTTGACAGCAGTTGAAGTCAACCAGGTTGATTACAAGGTCTTGGACATAGAGGCCGAGTCTGCAAATGGTTTTTTGAATACTGTTTTGTATGAGATCTGTGGTGGATGGGTGTGTGAGTCCCATCCCAGTCTGTCCCCTTGGCCCCTCAGTGAGACTTTTAAGAAGGGTGGGGAGGAAGAGGGAGCACTGACTTGTCATCTGCAGGCAGAATAAAGGAAGTACACAGAAAGAGCTGGACAAACACAAGAAACACATTCTCGATATCTGGTTTGGGATCTACAGAGACAACAATTTGAGTTTTGCATTCTGGGATCAGGGGCGGTGGGACTTGTTTCGGGAGGTGGTAGGAGCCAGACCCATCTCCACAACAGAACCAGTCAGGAGCTGCTCCAGGGAACCCATTCTCTTCACCTGGTAAGTTCACTTTTCCGTTCCTCCAGTTTTTCATTGTATCATGGCCCTGAGGCTGAGGACGCACGAGAGAAAAGATCTGCCTAACATGTAAGCAAAATGAAGCCCTTTGGAATTATATTAGTAGCAACTTTTCTGCCAGACAGAGCTTGTGGAGTGGCTATACGATGCGTCACTTTTTTCTTCTTAAACGGACTCTTTGAAACAAGTATGAGAGATGTTATCATCCCTGATGTTGCAGATGCAGACTGAGCCCTGTGCTCTGGTTGAAAAAATAGACAATGGAAACCAGGGCTCTTAAGTCCTGATCAGGCACTCACTGATTTAATCAGAGCACAGAGAAGCTAGCTCTTTTGCTGGAGACGGGGGAAGTGGTCTCCTCTCACCTTACATTCACATTTCTTTTAAAAAAATTTCTTTTCTTTAATGTTTTATTTATTTCTGAGAGAGACAGAGACAGAGACAGAGACAGCGTGAGCAGAGAAGAGTCAGAGAGAGAGGGAGACACAGAATCTGAAGCAGGCTCCAGGCTCTGAGCTAGCCGTCAGCACAGAGCCCGATGCGGGGCTTGAGCCCACCAACCGTGAGATCTTGACCTGAGCCGAAGTCAGAGGCTTAACTGACTGAGCCACCCAGGTGCCCCACATTCACATTTCTTTTGTTTGTCAAAGCCTAAATGGGTTACTGATGATCAGTGTATTATTCACCTGACATTAATCACACTACTTAAAAAATGATGATGGGTTGTGGGGGAGCGCCTGGATGGCTCAGTTAGTTGAGCATGTGACTTTAGCTCAGGTCATCATCTCACAGTTCATGAGTTCGAGCCCTACATTGGGCTCACTGTTGTCAGTGCAGAGCCTGCTTCAGATTCTCTGTCCACCTCTCTCTGCCCCTCCCCTGCTTGCTCTCTCCCTCTCTCTCTCTCTCTCTCTCTCAAAAAAAAAAAAAAAAGGTGATGACCTGGTGGCTGGGTGCCTGGCTGGCTCAGTGGGTGTACCATCCTATTTTAGTCTCAGGGTGGGGAGTTCAAACCCCATGTGGGCATGGAGTCTATTTTTAAAAATGATGAGGAATAGATTGCTTTAGTTAATTCATGTTACTATACGTACTGTGAATGCCCGTTTCCTGCTGAGGAAGAAATTCCCCTCGTAATCAAATCCAGAACTCTTATGACCCCTTGTGGCCCCTCTAGCAACTATCTTGGACTACATCTCCCATAGTGCAACGGGAAACGCGCAGCACTCCCTCCGTGACCGAACAGGATCTCTAACCAATCCAGTGCCACAGCCCTTGTTCAGCGACCTATCGGCTCCGCGTAGGGGCGGGACTCTTAGTTGCTAGGTTGGTACCTTTTCCGGAAGTGGTTGTTGGTGGCTTGCAGGGCAACACCCCGGCGTCCCTGGAAGCGGGGAGCCGGGGTGGTGCCGGGGAAGCTGCGCAGACCACCCGGGAGCGGTCGTCCATCGCCTCCCGGTGCAGGGGGCAGGTGAGGACCTCCTCGAGGGAGGGGGCAGGGGAAGGAGGGAGGCCGGGGAGTTGAGGCACACTCGTGTGCCCGCGAGCGGGATGCGCAGGAGTGTGGGCGGGAACTGCAGGGAGAAGTGAAGACTGCGCGGCGGGACCAGAGTGCATCCACCCGGAATCTCTCCGAGGGGCGGGCTGGGGTCGGGGTGCCGGCGGGGAGCGAGCGACCCGCGCGAGAGACCGCGGGCGCCGGGCTACGCCTGCGAGCTGGCTGGGGCGCCCGTTGACTCGTCCCGTCCGTGATTGGAGTGTGAGGCCCGGCGTCCGAAGCCCGCTCGGATACCTCTCTTCTGGGGAGGCTTCCCCGCGTCCGAATCCAGGGCTGGGCCGACTTTCTGATGTCTTTGGGTCGGCTGGGGAAGTCAGGAAGGTTTGAGGTTTTGTTCTTTCCCTTCCTTGCGTTGATTCAAAACTCTGCCTGCTCCAGCTGCCACCGCAGCCCTCGCTGGGCTTCCGCGACCCCTCGCTCCTGGGTTTCCTAACTCAGCTGGCTTTGCAGGCCTCTCCTTTCTCCTCACCTAAGACCGTCTCTGGGTGATCTCGCCCGGACGTTCGTTTAAAGTAGAGCGGGCGCAAGCCCAGACCACCTTCCTGAGCTCAGGCCTGCTCACTGACCATCTGTCCACCTGCATGCCACCCCCATCGCCCAGGCGCCCTGGATCGGTGCTCCCTCTTGTAGTTGCTGAGTCAGCGAAGGACCCCCCCCCCCCCCCCCCCCCTTCACCCAGCCAGGTCTGCACCTGGAATTCATTCAGCCGCTTTAGGTACCAAACGTTTGATGGGCATCTCCCATATTCTAGGGAGCATGCTAGGTGGGGCTGTTGGGCAAGGCATGGAGGAGTACAGACAGTCACAGACCGCCTAAGTTTCCCTCCTCCCCCTTCACTTACTGCGGACTTCAAGTCCTGTTATTCTGCCTCCCGATACCCTGAGCATCTGGTCCTTCCTTTCCATTCTCGCAGCCACCAACTCCGTTCATAATTTCTTGCCTGTGCTTTCAGGAAAGCTTCCTAACCGGTCCCCTCCGCTTCTATTCTTGCCTTCTTCAAATTAGTCAAAGTGTCTTTCTAAACTGCAGATCGGACCATGCCAGTCTCCTTTGTGAAACCCTGTGATGGCTTCTCATCATGTACGGGATACGACCTCCGTCCTTCCCAGCCCTTTAGACTGTGCTGCTTGTCTTCCACTGTAGCTGTCTCTCCTGCCGCTCCTCCCTTCGCCTCTTGCGTTCTGGTCATGTCAGAGTGGTTAGGAGCTCAGGCTTTGGGGTCGCATAGACGTGGGTGCGGCCATGTTCTGCTGTGCCGTTTAGTACCTGCGGAAACTTGGCCAAGTTCTTTTTTATTTAACCTTGCTGAGTCTCACTTTATTTGAAAATGGGGGAAAGAATTTCTTCCTCCATTTTTTTTAAACCTAAAAAAAAAAGTTTATTTTGAGAGAGAGAGAGACAGACAGACAGACAGACAGACAGGGAAAGAGAATCTCAAACAGGCTCTGCACTGCTGGCATGGAGCCCCACACGGAGCTGGAACACAAATCGCGAGCTCATGACCTGAGCCAAAACCAAGAGTCAGATGCTTAACCGACTGAGCCATGCAGGTGCCCCTGGGAAAACAGTTTCTACCTATTTGAGAGGACGAGGTGAGATGTAGTATTGGTACAGTTCTTGGACCGTAGGAAGTGCTCAGTGAATATAAGCTTTTGTTGTGAAAATGAATTCTCTGCACCCACTGTATTCTTTCATGCCTCTTGGCCTTCGTGCAGGTGGTTTCTTCTGCCTTACGTTCCCCTCTTCTCTTATCTTGGTGAGCTCCTGCTTGTTCTTTTTTTTTTTTTTTTTTTTTATATTTTTATTTATTTCTAGGAGAGAGAGAGAGACAGCGTGAGCAGGGGAGGGTCAGAGAGAGAGGGAGCCACAGACTCTGAAACCGGCTCCAGGCTCTGAGCTGGCAGTCAGCACAGAGCCCGACGCGGGGCTCGAACCCACAAACCGTGAGATCATGACCTAAGCGAAAGTCGGACGCCTAACCGACTAAGCCACCCAGGCGCCCCTCCTGCTTGTTCTTTAAGAGCCTTCTCCTTGGTCCTCTGCTCTGTGATGCTTCTCCTGATCTTCCAAAGTAACATTTGCCATCCTCACCTTAGTTCCCCGTTACATTTCCTATTACTTCCTCAGTGTGCTTGACATATTATACAGTCATGTCTTTATGTGTTTGGCTTCTCAGCTTGGATCAGCTGGAGTTCAGAGCCTTGTGTAATCATGTCTGTAGTCCTCATAGTTAGCACAGTGCCAGCCCATGGTAGGTGTTCAGTAAGTGGTCACTGAATGTCTGAATGGCCTTAACTTATGTTCCCTGGTATTAGATCTGCCCTATGGAACAATGTAGAATAAGCCTTTCATATATGTAAGTAGTAATAACAACAACGACTCACACTTGTTGAGATTTTACTGTGTTTCAAATATTTTCCATGTACTGGATAATTTAATTCTCACACACCTTGGCAGTAGACATTGTTCTCTCCATTTTAGAGATGAGAAAACTGAGGCGCCTTGACCAGCTGTAAGTGGCAGAGCTGGGATTCAAAGCCAGTACTGTTCCCAAACCTGTGTTCAGTTACCACTACCTAATCACTTCCAGTGTTTTCCACCTTTTTCCAGCGCCTTCTCCAGGAAATCTTTCCTTTCCTTTGCTGAACTTTCTTTATACTTGTTCAGACAGAGTGGAAGAAGTAATTATACAGGGAATCCTACTTATGCAAATGTGCATGTATGCATGCTCTGTTAGCGTGCAGGTGTTTTTATTCCCCGTTGCATCTCCAGTGCCCAGCCCAGGGTACACTTAGGGGCGCCCCTGGGGGGCTCAGTCGGTTGAGCGTCAGACTTCGGTTTAGGTCATGATCTTGTGGTTCGGGAGTTCGAGCCCCACGTCAGGCTCGCTGCTGTCAGCACGGAGCCCACCTCAGATCCTCTGTCCCCTCGCTCTCTCTGCACCTCCCCCACACTCTCTCTCAAAAATAAATAAACATTTAAAAAAAAAAGGTGAACTTAGGTGCTCGATAAATATTTCTCGAATGAACAAGTGATCTCTAGCAGCCATTAAATGCGCATGATTTCTCTTCCGACCGCCTCCTCCTTCCTATAGTTCCTGCCCTTACGCACATCTGAAGCCCGGCAAGGCAAAGAAAAGAGGCAGAAGGTAGCCCAGCTCGCATCTTCATCTTTTTTGGCAGAAGATTTGATATTTGAGTGACCCATGAATTTGGGTTTTCGAGGCTCTTCCTGGCATTTCAGTGTAGCTAGTGGGCATCCTGCCACAGAGAGATGTCACCTGCCCCATGCTTTCTGGAAATGGGGTGTGTCTAGGGATATGAGACCTTTCTCAGATGCTCGGTGGCGGTCGCTGCGATGTCCTGTGAGAGGTCACAGCCTGTTGGGTTGAACGTTGGCTAGCCCTGCTGTTCAGGCCGCTAGGGATCCCTCCGCCCCCAGGGATTCTTTCCCCTTCTCCTTCCGTTCTGGGTGCTTTTCTGCTCTGCTTTCTCAGGGTTGGTGGCCCTGCTCGTGTGTGTGTGTGTGTAACATTACGGGCTCTCAGGGCAGGGCACAGAGCCCTAGCTGGGTTTATGTCCTGTAGAGGAGAGGCTGCTCCCATTAGCCCTTCTTCCTAAGACACGAAGTTCCTGCTTGGAGGTGTCGTGGTGGGAATGAGAGGCGCAGAGCCTCCCTCACTCCCTGGCTCCGGCGGCCTGACGGAGGGAGCCGTCTCTTAGGAGTCGTAAGGCAAGGTACCTTCCTGGCCCATCTGTCATCGCTCAGGGTCCAGCAAGGGCCACACATATCCTCACATACAGTCCCTCACATACCCTTTGCTGTTTGTCAGGAGTCCCTCTCTAGCAATCTTGGGACAGATTTAGAGCCGCCAGACCTGGCCACTTCCTGAGGACTCATTACAGGACACATCCCAACCTCCTTTTTTTAAAAAAATCTTTTTTTCCAATGTTTGTTTATTTCTTTGAGAGAGAGACAGAGCATGAGCAGGGGAGGGGCAGAGAGAGAGAGGGAGACACAGAATCCGAAGCAGGCTCCAGACTCTGAGCTGTCAGCACAGTGCCTGACGCGGGGCTCGAACTCAGGGACCGTGAGATCCTGACCTGAGCCAAAGGTCGGCCGCCTAACCGACTGAGCCCCCCAGGCGCCCCCCCACCTCCATTTTGATGACAGGGCCTTTCTGCTCACTTCACCTGCTGTAAGGGGGCTGTGTGTGCTTGTTGCTCAGGGCGGAACAGGGACAGCTGAGGAGGTCAGGCCCTGCTCCTCTAGACTCCCGTTAGTCACACCAGCGTGGCAATGCCTTCTCGGTTGGGGGACGCGCTCCAGCAGCCACTTTACAGGGGGACCTGCCTCTGCGTCGCTGGGAGCCTCAGTGCGGGAGCTGCCATCGGGGAGAGTTGTGACCTGGAAGGGAGGAGCGGGGAACGGCACCAGCTTGTCAGTTGAAGAATTTGACGCCGTCCCATCCTTGAAGCTAGAAATCTTAGATTCAAGCTGGACTCTTGCCCCCCCCCCCGCCCCCCCATCCCCTCCTGTTAACCCTGCCCTCACAGCGTCTGCCCTGCCCTATTCTCTCTGCTTCCGCCCTAGTTTGAGCCCTCCTCGTCTTTCACCCGGACAGTAGCCTCCCCCCTGCTTTTCCTGACACCAGCCTCGTTTCTCTAGTCCTGCCGTCCACCCCTGCCACAGTTCACATCCTGAAAGAAGGCCACCGTGTGCCACTTTATCTCGCCAAAGCCCTCAGCGGCTCTCCTTTGCCGCAGGGGAGAGTCGAGAGTTTCGCATGGTCTACAAGGCTCTCCACGACCTAGCTTTCCACGCCGGCCCGGGCTCGCATGCTGCACCCAGTACTCCAGAACACCCCCCTGCACCCGACGTCCCCTCCGCCAGCAAAGCTCCCTCCACGAACACGGCCCTTGTCTGCCTTTGGCACCCGGCTCCTTAGGAAGCCTGCTTTTGCCCCTTCAGTGGGAATATATTACTTCTCTCTGAGTACCTGCAGAGCAGGGTGGTTTTTTCTTTGCCTTCTGCCTTTTGCTGTTGAAGTTGTGCATGCACTACTGCTAGAGCAAACACTCCCCGAGGGCATTGTTAGTGCAAATAGGGATGTGTGTGAGACACTGTGGCCGCACTGGAATATGTTGGTATGGGGGGGGGGGGCACCATGGTATGAAATCAAACTCCAGATCTTTTGTGACCCACTGAGTATTCAGCGAGCCTTTGGGAAATGTGTCTCAGGAAACTTGACCAGCCGCAGAGCCTATAAGGGCCGAGTTCTGAGCCATTGGCCCCACCCTTCACTCTCCCTGGAGTCTGGAAAACGCTAGGTTGGCTTGCAGGGCCTGATCTGACCCAGGTGCTCCATGACCTGGCTCCAGTCTTTCTCCTTTTAAGCTTGGTCACTGATTTTCTCTTGGGATGGGGGTCTTCGGGATCTAGGTGTTCGAGCCCAGAACAATCATGGCCGGAAGACCCATCCGCATAGGAGACCAGCTGGTTCTGGAGGAGGATTATGATGAGACGTATATCCCCAGTGAGCAAGGTAAGAGGCCTGGGGCGTACTGTCATAGGTGTTTGAGGGCAGGAATTCTCACTGATTTAATTTTGTTCTTCCAAGACAAAGTGTGGTACATGTATGGGGCTGCTTGGTATATTTGGTTAGATCAGAGACTGGAAAACTGTAACTAATGGGCTTCAACTTCTAGTAGAGCTTTATTAGAAAACAACCGTGCTTATTTGCTTATGTATGGTCTGTGGCTGCTTTCATGGCAGAAGGGCAGTGCTGAGGAGATGTGAGAGGGACCCTATCACCCACAAAGCTGAAAATACTTCTGTCTGGCCCTTTATGGAAAAAGTTTGCTGACCCTGGGTTAGGTCAATGATTATTGTATTTTTTTTTTTTTAATATTTTTTATTTATTTCTAGGAGAGAGAGAGAGAGAGACAGCGTGAGCAGGGGAGGGTCAGAGAGAGAGGGAGATACAGACTCTGAAATAGGCTCCAGGCTCTGAGCTGGCAGTCAGCACAGAGCCCGACGCGGGGCTCGAACCCACGAACCGCGAGATCGTGACCTAAGTGAAAGTCGGACGCTTAACCGACTAAGCCATCCAGGCGCCCCTGATTATTGTATTTTTAAATGTTTGTTTATTTTGAGAGAGAGAGAGAGAGAGTGCGTGGGAGGGGCAGAGAGAGGGAGAGAGAGAATTCCAAGCAGGCTCTACAAAGCCTGACACGGGGCTTGATCCCACGAACTGTGAGATCATGACCTGAGCTGAAATCAAGAGACGGATGCTTAACTAACTGAGCCGCCCGGGGGCACCATCGATTAATTTTAAATGAAAATATAGGTGCTCCGGACCAGCTCAGTTGGTGGAGTGTGAGACTCTTGATCTCAGGGTTGGTTGTAAGTTCAAACCTCATGTTAGGTATAGAGGTCACTCGGAAATAAGTTCTTAAGAAAAAAAAAAAAGGTCCATCTTTAGAAAATATAAATGAAAATATATTAGAAGATACCATGAAATACATTGTGTCCTGAGGCCGAGGGTAACCCAGCTTCTTAAGAAAAAACCCTAAAGCAGTGTTTTTTGTTTTTTTTTAAACAACAACCATGTTATTAACAATAATAACAATATATTGAGTGCTCCTGGGTGCTGGTCTCTGGTAAGAAATTTACCTGTATTTCCTTTTCAACCCTCGCAGCAACTCCACAAGTTAGGTACTATTATCATTCCCATTCTACAGAAGAGGAAACTGAGGCACGAAAAGGTTCAGTCATTTCCATCCAGTCACAGGTGTACTGAGCAGTGCAGCTGGGACCCACACCCAGGTATCCTAACACAAGGGCCTGCACTTTGAAGCTCTGTGCTACATCGGGGGGCGATGATTCCTCTGAAATTGTCACGTGTCAGAGACCTGGACACATAATTCAGGAAGTTTGCAGGCCTGTTTAGAGAGAGGGAAGGAACCCTTGCACTCCCAGAGCCCCCGGACTTTGCATATAGCATAGGATTTTTATTTGTTTGCTGTATGAATTTTTAAATTTTTATGTTAAATGTATCAGTCCATTCTCCCATGGCCTCGCAATGTCATATAGTCAGAAAAGCCTTCCTTCCCTACTGCATGGATAAACACTCCTCTCGTGTTTTCGTGTGGACGTCCCCGCACCGCTCATGGCGGGCCCGTCTTTCCCCCAATGACTAGCTGCCAGCGACTGTATTTTGCCTCCTTATCTTCCACCGGACTGTCCGTTCACACGCCAGCACCGTACTCTTAGTTCCCGAGGCTCCGTAATAAATTCTCTTATCCGGCGGGGCTGATGCGCCCTTGTGGCTTTCCCCGTACCCCCTACCCACGTTTTCCTGGTTATCTTGTCTTATCTCCCTGGGAACTTGAGAATCTCCTCGTCTGGTTCTGGGGAGGGCTCTGTGGGCCAGAACTGTTAGTATTTTGGAGACAGTTGTGTTCAGTTTGTGAATGAGCCTAGGGAGGGTTGGCGTCTCTCTTAAGCCCTCCTCCCCAAGAGCATGGTATTCCTTCTACTTGTGTTTTCTTCATGTCCTTCATGACCTAGAGTTTTCCTCATGCGGGTTTTCACACATTTCTTGCTCAGTGTATTTCTTACGTGTTTTACCTTTTTTGCTTGCTCTGTGAATGGGGACCTGATGACGTTCTAAGGATGTTTATAAAAACTTTCTTCTGCTCAGTCCAAGTTGAGACAGTCTAAGCTCAAGCCACCATTTCTTTCCCTGGACTGTCGGCAGTGTCCTAGTAACCACCCCCCCCACCCCCGTTTACACCCTTGCCCCTCGCGGCGGGGGCTCCACCTTGCGCCAGAGTGGTGTTCTTGCCGAGTGAAGCAGACCTTATCAGGACTCTGCTTTTAGTAGTATTCCGCTATACTCAGCAGAACGCCTTCAGTGGGGTGTGCAGGGCCCTGTCCCCTGGTGCCACTCTCCCTGGCTCTCTGCCAGTCGCATGGCGTTTCTGACAGTCCCCAGATGGGCCAAGCTGCTGCTTGCCATGGGCCTTTGCACCTGCTCTTCTGCCTCACTGTTCCTTCCCCGGGGCTCTGTGTGGCCAGCACCCTTGTCTCCTGCAGCCCTCAGTCGTGTTCCATTCTGACCGGTTTCCCGTCATCCTTTCTAAAGGAGCGCCCCCCCCACCCTGACGTTCTGTCTCTCATATGTCGTTTACTTCCTTTGTTACCTTTATCAGAAGCTTTCATTCTTTGTATATTTATCTGTTTACTACTACTACTGCTTCATCTTTTTCTTTAGAGAGAGAACAAGAGAGTTTGGGGGGAGGGACAGAGGGAGAGGGGGAGACCGGGAATCTCGAGCAGGCTCCACGTCCAGCGTGGAGCCCAACGTGGGTCTTGACCTCAACACCTTGAGATCATGACCTGAGCCAAAATCAAGAGTCGGACACTTTGCTGACTGAGTCCCCCAGGTGCCCTGATTGCATCTTTACTGGTTGTTTCCTCTACTAGAATGTAGACTCGATGAGGGCGGAGACCATTTCTCTTACGCACAGCACATAGGAAGCACTCCAGAGCTATTCGTGAAATCTGTGAGTAAGACTCTGGCTAGCCAGATTTCAGCTGGTCCTTTGAAAAAGTGCTTTTTCTTTTCTGGTCCCCGGGTATGCCCGCCTCCACCTTCTCCGTTGAGAGAACCCATACCGGCTTTACCTTTCTGGCCTGGGTTATCATCAGCTGGAGCACTGATGCCCCCGCGGTCCTTATTTCCTTATTCCTGGGGCGTCTGGGGACCCCTTGTAGCGGTCAGCTCCTCTGTCTTTCCCCTCTGGTAAGACCGCTCTTAGCTCAGGACATAGGTCTCCCCTGTCCTCCAGAGCTCTGGCAAAAGAGCTTTCTACATGCTTCTCTCCCAGAGAGTACAGCACAAGTATTAGAGGCCACAGGACATCGCAGAAGTGGAAAAGAAAAAGCCCCTTCATGGAGTAGAGGCTTCTGGGAGTGGAGAGCGAGGCTGCTCGAGTATCCCCTCACTTTCTCAGCTCAGCTCTCCCCTGGCCCGGGTGGAAAAAGTCACTGCTTTCCCTCCGCTCCCGGGGCACATGGTGCGTGTCTCCATTAAGGCACATAGCCCTCGGTTTGTACTCTGTTCATGCGTTGGTAAGGTCCCCGAGGGGCTTAGTCCTCTCTAGTTGCTCAGTCCATGCTTGTTGACTGAGTGACGAGCACTTTTGCTCCAGGAGTTTGGAGCTTGTGTCCGGCGAGGCTGCCCTCAGTCAGGATGGTTCTGGCTGCGGCCGCTGGGTGCCTTCCTGAGGCCCCGGCCACACAGGCATCTTGGTCTTACTGTTTTGCCTTGGTCATTCTCCGCTTCACATGACATTCTTGGAGTATGGGAATAGCACGCCTGGGTTCAGGTGTACCATTTGTAAGTTAAGAAGACAGAATTATGTATGTTTATTATTTATTTAGAGACATAACACCTGCTCACGTAAGGAAACTTGAACAGTAAAGGTGAAGTAGGAAAAACGTTGTCTAGAAAAAAACCTGTTTTTCCTTTATTCTCGCACTCAAAATGCTGGCACCAGATGCATGGTTTTCTTCTGACACTAGTTGCGTGTCCTACAATTCAACTCAGTTCTTTTTTTTTTTTTTTTTTAACATTTATTTATTTTTGAGAGACAGAGCGAGCATGAGTAGGGAGGGGCAGAGAGAGGGAGACACAGAATCCGAAGCAGGCTCTAGGCTCTGAGCTGTCAGCACAGAGCCTGATGTGGGGCTCGAACTCCCAGATCGTGAGATCGTGAGATCGTGACCTGAGCCAAAGTCTTACGCTTAACCGACTGAGCCACCCAGGCACCCCAGGTCAAGTTATTTTATAATTTTTTTAAATGTATTCTTATTTTTTTAAATGTTTTCTAAAATTTATTTCTGAGAGAGAGAGCATGAGCAGGGGAGGGTCAGAGAGAGAGGGAGACCCAGAATCCAAAGCAGGCTCCAGGCCCTGAGCTGTCAGCACAGAGCCCAACAGAGCCTGACGCGGGGCTCGAACTCAAGAACTGCGAGATCATGACCTGAGCTGAAGTCGGACACTTAACCGACTGAGCCACTTAAGCACCCCAGTTCAACTCAGTTCTGACACTATCTTCCTGGAGAGAGCTTCAGATCCCACAGGCTAAGGGCTCAGTCACACAAGACTCTCCCAACTTCAGACATCAGTTGCAAGTCTCAGATTGTCCCTGGTACTTCTGACCAATGATCTACACATCAGAGTCCCCTGCCCCTCAGGTTTGATAATTTGCTAGAACAGGTCACAGAACTCAGGGAAACACTTAACTTGACCAGTTTACCCTACAGTAAAGGATACGATAAAGGATAGAGTTGAACAGCCAGATGAAGAGATCCGTACGGTGAGGTCACATGGGTACGCTCACTAACCCAGAAGCTCTCTAAGCGCCATAGTTTAGGGACTTTCATGGAGCCTTCTTCAAATCACGATTGATCGTTAACTCATTTTCCAGCCCTTTCCAGAGGATTGAGGTGAAACAAAGTTCCAAGCTTCTAATCATGGCTCTGTCTTTCTGGTGACCAGCCCCCATCCGGGAGCCCACCCAGAGTCACCTTATTGGGATTTCTGTTACTCGGGAAATTCCGAGCGTTTTAGGAGCTCTGTGTCAGGACCTCGGGTTGAAGATCAGATACAAACAGGAGCTGGGGGTGGAGACCAACACGTGTATTTCTTATTGTTTCACAAGGTTGATTGTGATTATTTTCCTTTTTTCCATGCACATCCCCTACTTTGTTACTTTCTCATTGTCCCACCTCTTCCTGCAGAAATTCTTGAATTCGCCAGAGAGATTGGTATTGATCCCATCAAGGAGCCAGAACTGATGTGGCTGGCGCGGGAGGGCATTGTGGCCCCGCTGCCTGTGGAGTGGAAGCCCTGGTAAGTCAGCGTGGACGCAGCCCACACCTGTCACTGCAGGTCAGCGTTAATTTGCCACCTTGATTATTTTTCTTAATTTTAAAAAAATGTTTGTTTTTGAGAGAGAAAGAGTGTGAGCAGGGGAGGGTCATAGAGAGAGGGAGACACAGAATCTGAAGCAGGCTCCAGGCTCTGAGCCATCAGCACAGAGCCTGACATGGGGCTTGAACTCCCAAACCATGAGATGATGAGCTGAACCGAAGTCAGGACCCTTAACGGACTGAGGCGCCCCAATTTGCCACCTTCGGAAGCCTGTCCTGCGCAGATATGGGGACAGCAATGGGCCATTCCTCTGCTGTGCCACCTGAGGCATTGGGCCTGAGCATCAGGCCAACGTGACGGTCCCTGTGAGGGGTTCAGCACCGATGTCCAGGGTCCTGAGAGCTGCTGCCTCGCATCAGATCCTGTAGCACCAGCACCTGCTCTGCGCCCGCTGGCGAAGTGTCACTGTTGCCCTTTGCAGACTGATACTGAGAGTGACAATATTGAGGTCCCCCAGCAGGTCCTAAATGGATGCTGGTGCTAAAGAGGCGACACCTCCTGAATTGGAGCCCTGTGCTCACGAATAGGTTTCTGTCTGCGGATTCGGTCATCTGTGCCGTTTCACTTTGAGCTCTCTGCACATGCGGAGTGGACCCGTTCAGGTTGCCCCAGGGGAACAGGCTGATGGGGAGGAGGCTGCTGGGGTCTCCTCCTCCTGAGGACCTCCCACCCTCGGGGTCGGGGGTGCGTGTGGGCTGTTGTGCACAAGGCCTCCAGCTCGGCTCCCTGAAGCGAGTGCCGCAAGTTCACTTCCCGCTTCAGTGCCAAGTCCCCGGCTGGTCCCCACGTGTCTCCAGGGTCCTCTCTTGTGCTGCGCTTGTGCGGGTTTGCGCGCCACGTATCCTATTCTGTCCTAACCCACACCATTTAGTGCGTCGGCCATGCTTCAAAATGACCGCAAGGGAGACCTTACTCATCCCCGCTGAAGACTCATACTGAACCCCGTCAGCCTCTCCTCACGTGGCCGGCTCCCTGCTCTCTCGATCTTTGTAGCAGCGTTTCCTCGGATCTCCTCCGGATTCATGACACCTCTCTTGTGAGAGGTGTGTCAGCACTGTACACTCCTCCAGGTGCTGAGGACTCAGGGTTGCGTTTGTAGCGTAGGTTTGTGGGACAGCGGTTTCTGTTCTGTTTCTCGGGTCCACCCTGATGCCCACATTCGCCTTATCTAAGCATCTCGGTCCTCTTGGCCTTTGTTTTTGTTTGTATATATGTGTGCTGCTCACTTTTGGATACATTTTCTCATTAGAAACCATACAGGAGAGGCACCTGGGTAGCTCAGTCCGTTAAGCCTGGGTGGCTCAGTCCATTAAGCATCTGACTTCAGCCCAGGTCATGATCTCATGGTTTGTGAGTTCGAGCCCCGCTTTGGGCTCTGTACTCGGAGTCTGGAGCCTGCTTCGGATTCTGTGTCTTCCTCTCTCTGCCCGCCTCCCCCACTCATGCTCTGTCCCTCTCTCTCAAAAAAATAAACATTAAAAAAAAGAGTTTAAAGAAGTTCTTATTAAAAAAAAAACACCACATGAGACATAGAATCAGTATAGTGACATCTTAGTGCACACATACTCAAATAAATAAATGGATGCAGTGTTTGTAAAAAGTAAAATGGTGGAGGAGGGCACTTGTAGGGTTGAGCACTGGGTATTATATGGAAACCACTTGACAATAAACTATTTGTAAAAAAAAAAAAAAAGTAAAATGGTGGGTGGGAGGAAGGAAACTGTCATTGGTTATTGGGCCAGCCGTGTGCCAGGCTTCGCGCCCACCGTCTGCACGTACCTGCTAGTGGTGGCCAGTGTGCCCTCAGCCTGTAGGGGAGCATGAATGGTTTCTCGCTTTTAAAAATATCCCAAGTCATTAAAACTTACATGTACATGCATCTTTTACCCTTTCAATACAAAGAGTAACTGCTATGAATTCGTGAATTCCTTCCTGGCCTTTGAAAAACAGCCCACACCCCATGCACGTGGTTTTATTTATTAACCATAAGTGCTGTACTGTGTACACTGTTGCTCTTCTCTGTCAGTATGTCGTCTCCCTTAGTCTTTTATCACTCTTTCCCATGTGTAGATGTACCACAATTTTAACAGATCCTGATTTATGTAACCACTCTGATATCGAAAGGTGTTTAGGTTTCTTTTCCAAATTGTCTCTTATGTCTGTGAAGGGTCTACTTCTGGCCTCTCTGCTCTCTCCCATTGATCTGTTTGTCTGTCTTAAAACGAGTACTGTACACATCGTCTTCATAACTGTAGCTTTATTATAAATCTTGAAATCATGTCGGGTAAATCCTCCAACTTTGTTGTCCATTTTCCAAGTAGTATTATAGGTCCCCTGTGCTTCCGTATGAATTTGAGAACCAGCTTGTCATTTTCTACAAAAAAAATCTCCTTGAGATTTTGATTGGAATTGCACTGAATCAATAAATCACTTTAAGAAGACTTGACCTCTAAAACTATATGGAGTCTTCCAACCCCTGAGCAGGGTCTGTCTCCATATATTTGGGTGACTTTTTTCTCTAAGAAATGTTTCATAGATTTTAGGGTACACATCTTACCCATATTTTGTTAGATTTACTCCTTTTTTTTAATTAAAAAATTAAAAAAAATTTTAATTTATTTCTGAGAGAGAGACCGCGTGAGCAGAGGAGGGTCAGAGAGAGAGAAGACACAGAATCCAAAACAGGCACCAGGCTCTGAGCTGTCAGCACAGTGCCCAATGCGGGGCTCAAACCCACGAACTGTGAGATCAGGACCTGAGCCGAAGTCAGATGCTTTACCGACTGAGCCACCCAGGTGCTCCTGTTAGATTTATTCCTAAATGGTGGTATATTTTTAATGGTATATGTTAAAATTTCATATTGCCTGTTGCTTTTATATAGAAATAAAATTCGTTTTTGTACATTGGTCTCATAGCTGGGATCCTTGCTCAATTCACTTCTGTTAGTTCTAATAGTTTTGTAGATTCCATAGGATTTCCTATAGACATGATCACATCTTCCGTGAAAAAGACATTTTACGTCTTCCTTTCCAATCTGAGTACCTCTTATTTTTATGTTTTTCCTTATTGCACTGGCTAGACCCTCTAACAGTAGAAGTGGTGACAGCGGACATTTTTGTTTCTTTCCTTATCTTAAAGAATCCAGTATGATGGAAGCTGGAGATTTTTGTAAATGCCTTTTGTCGGGATGAGGAGGTCCCCTTCTATTCCTGGCTTGCTGAGGGGCTAAATCAGAAATATATTGGATTTTACCCCATGTTTTTCCTGTACCTATTAGTAGGATCATGTGATTTTTTTTTTTTTTTTTCTATTTCGGTCTTAATAGGGTGAGTCATATTGATTTTTCTTTTTTTTTTTATTTTAAAAAAAATTTTTTTTTTAATGTTTTTATTTATTTCTAGGAGAGAGAGAGAGAGACAGCGTGAGCAGGGGAGGGTCAGAGAGAGGGAGTCACAGACTGAAACAGGCTCCAGGCTCTGAGCTGGCAGTCAGCACAGAGCCCGACGCGGGGCTCGAACCCACGAACCGCAAGATCATGACCTAAGCGAAAGTCGGACGCTTAACCGACTAAGCCACCCAGGCGCCCCCATATTGATTTTTCAAGTGGTAATCTGACCTTAACATTCCTGGGATAAAGCCCACTTGGTCATGATTATATACTATCGGATTTGATTTTGTAAAATTGTGTTAAGTATCTTTGTTCTAAAAAATAGTTTGAAGGGGATGAGGTACATAGAGTTTGGGTATTTTATTATTCCTGATTTCCAGTTTTCTTTATTCATTCTATTATTTGTTACAAGTTGAGATCTGGTTTCTGGCTCAGTAAGTGACCCTGTTCATGTAAATGTTCCTGGGATGCTCCATAAGAATATAGTCTTTCATTTTTGGATACAGCATTCTATGAGTGTCCTTTCTATCAATGTGTTTTATATCTAGATGTGTCTATGCCTTCTGTGTCCCTCATCACTTTGGTTTCACTCTGAATAACAGTTTGGTTGAGTACAGAGTTGTGTGTTGAGTATGAGGAGCCCTCGGGACGATATCATGTACCTTATCTTCTGACTTATGGTTTTGCTAAAAAGACATGTTTTCTTGGTCTCATTTGTTGTTCCTTTGTGGGTAGTAAAATGCCCCCTCTCCCTCTCCCCCCACTGGACGTTTTTATTACTTTTATCTTCGTTGTTTTGTAATTTCACTGCAGCATATCATGTTTGGATTCATTTTTGTCTCCCAAGTTCTGGATTCGGGGTGCTTTCTTACTTTAAGGACCCCTGTCTCTCTTCATCCCCTTTCTGTCCCTAATTTAATGATTCTACCGATTCTTACAAGTTTTGCTCTTTTCAATATGTCTGTTTTCTTTTCTTTCTTTTTTTTTTTTTCTGAGTTCTGTTCTTTCATTATGGATTCTACTCTTTTTATCCCTACAGTAATTTTAGATGTAGTTAATTTTAGTCTTTTTTTGATTATTGTACTATGCCAAGTTTCCTTGTGTGCCAATGTTTCTCTTCACTGGCGCTGATTTCCCTTCACAGTGAACTGTCTCCCATGGGGTTTGTTAATTATTGTGAGTTTGGGGAATCTATCTTCTGTAGAGTCATTTTCTGTGTCTTAGTCCTAGGTTGTAGACTGACTTTATGATAGCTTTATGCCAAGGATTTTTCAGTGGGTTCAGGACTACCTTTTTACATTACTTTTCTGACTTGAGATTCCCTTACCACAATTTGGATTCTGTGTCTACATGTATCTTGAGGTTTTAGTTTTTCATGAAATTTGATTTTGCCTGCCTGCACCTGGATTGCCTCCTTGCCCACTAGGTTCTTCTCTTCATGGAGCGAGCAGCCTTCAGTGCCCAGTGGTACACAAGGGTCTTGTTCCTAGTTGCCAAAGTCATGAAGGCCTATGGCCATATTTTGTGTCTGTTAATTAGTATTAAAGCTTGGGTTTTTGGGGCACCTGGGTGGTTTCATCGGCTGAGTGTTGGACTCTTGATTTTGGTTCAGGTCATGATCCCAGGGTCATGGGATTGAGCCCCATGTCAGGCTCTGTCCTGAGAGTGGAGCCTGCTTAAGATTCTCTCCCTCTCCCTTTCCACCCTCCCCCTCCCTCAAAAAATGAAGCAAAACAAACCAGTTTTTGAGGGTCTCTATCCAGGTCCAACACCAGCCTTGACCTGTCAGTTCACACACTTATCTTCAGAGTTCACATTTTCTTTCTGTTTCGGGCATCTGAGAATTTGACACCAGGTGAGAAGTCAGATGTTTTCTTCCGTTTGGGTAAGCATGTTGCCTGAGGTCTTGTATGTGTGTCTTTATTTTTTAATGTTTACTTATTTATTCTGAGAGAGAGAGGGAGGGGCAGAGAAAGAGGGGGAGAGAGAATCCCAAGCAGGCTCCACGATGTCAGCAGAGTCTGATGCAGGGCTCAAACCCGTGAGATCATGACATGAGCCAAAATCAAGAATCTGATGATGGAACTGGAGGCTATTATGCTGAGTGAAATAAGTCAGTCAGACAAGGACAGATACCATATGTTCTCACTCACGTGGAACTTGAATAACTTAACAGAAGACCATGGGGGAGGGGAAGGAGAAAAACTAGCTACAGAGAGGCAGGGAGGCAAACCATAAGAGACTCTTTTTTTTTTTTTTTTTAATATTTTTATTTATTTCTAGGAGAGAGAGAGAGAGACAGCGTGAGCAGGGGAGGGTCAGAGAGAGAGGGAGTCACAGACCGAAACAGGCTCCAGGCTCTGAGCTGGCAGTCAGCATAGAGCCCGACGCGGGGCTCGAACCCACGAACCGCGAGATCATGACCTAAGCGAAAGTCGGACGCTTAACCGACTAAGCCACCCAGCCACCCCAATAGATTTTTGTCTTTAAAAAGCAAACTTACTGAATCTTCCTTTCTATAGCACTTGAAGGAGAATGTTAGTACTTCATAGATTAAAAAAAAAAATTTTTTTTAATTTATTTCTAGGAGAGAGAGAGAGAGAGAGACAATTTATTTCTAGGAGAGAGAGGGAGAGAGAGACAGCGTGAACAGGGGAGGGTCAGAGAGAGAGGGAGTCGCAGACCGAAACAGGCTCCAGGCTCTGAGCTGGCAGTCAGCACAGAGCCCGACACGGGGCTCGAACCCACGAACCGCGAGATCATGACCTAAGCGAAAGTCGGACGCTTAACCGACTAAGCCACCCAGGCGCCCCAGAAAAAATTTCTAATATGGAAACAAACTTGACAGTAAACTATTTAAAAAAAAATAGAAAAAAATTCTAGAATTTGAAATGATGTGTTAAAAGATGTGCAGAATTTAAATATTGCTAGTTAATCATAAATTATCTTCCACCACAGGTTAATAATCCCTCCAATAATGGTACATATGGTTGTTCATTTAATAATATTATCAGTTAGGGGTACCTGGGTGGCTCAGTTGGGTAAGCATCTGACTCTTGATCTCAACTTAGGTCTTGATCTCAAGGTTGTGAGGTCAAGCCCTGGATTGGGCTTGAAGCCTACTTAAAAAGAATGATCAATTAAAACATTGTCAATCCCCCTAAAATGATCAATACAAAAAAATGTGAATCCAAGTATGGGAAATTATACCTGATCATTTACTAAAAAGTTTTTTTTGATGTTTATTTATTATTGAGACAGAAACAGAGCATGAATAGGGGAGGGGCAGAGAGAGAGGGAGATATAGAATCTGAAGCAGGCTCCAGGCTCCAAGCTGTCAGCACAGCCTGACGCGGGGCTTGAAACCACGAACCGTGAGATCATGACCTGAGCTGAAGTCAGATGCTTAACTGACTGAGCCACCCAGGCACCTCTATACCTGATCATATAAATTTGCATTTCTCAAATCATTCAGAATTGAGCTGGCCATCTATTTGCTATTTGCTTATTTATATTCTTTGCCATTTTGTCAGCTTTTTATTTTTGTTGACAAGGTGAAAGTGATTTTTCTGTGTATTAATCTTATACTACTGTTTCTACTATTTTCTCTCAGTCTCCTGTCTTTTAATTTTCCATATGCTTCCTTTTATCACACTGAAATTATACATTTTTTTGTAAGTTTTTTCCCCCAGGTAAAACATACATAACGTAAAATGTATCATTTTAACCATATTTAGATAATACAGCTCAGTGGCGTGAAGTACATTCACAGTGTTGTGCAAGCATCAGCACCACCCATTTCCAGAAGTTTTTCATCTTCCCAAACGGAAAGCCTGTTTCCATTCTACCCTTCCCCCAGTTCCTGGGAATCTCTAACCTACTTTCCATCTCTGTTAATTAACCTATTCAAGGTCAAGTCAGTGGACCCACGATATTCAGCCTTCTGTGTCTGGCTGATTTTACTTGGTATAATGTCTGCGCGTTTCATCCATGTTGTAGGCAGGCGTCAGTAGTTCATTCCTTGCCAAGACTGCACACGACTGTAGTGTATATATGTACTATATTTTGTTTATTCGTTTGTTCGTCAGTGGACATTTGGGCTGTTTGCACCCTTTGACTTTTATGAGTAATGCTGCTCTGAACGTGGGTGTACACATATCTGCTTGAATCCCTGCTTTCCTTTTCGGCATATATCCAGCAGTGGAATTGCTGGGCCCTATGGTCTCTGTTCTTAATTTTTAGGAAACTCCTGTAGTGTTTCTCACAGCAGCCACACCCTTTTCCATCCGACAGTGCAAGAGGGGCCCAATCTCCCCACATCCTCGCCAGCACTTGTTATTTCTGCTTGCTTGGTAATTGCCACGTGTGTGGGTGGGAAGCCATATCTCACTGTGGCTGTAAGTTTCACTTTCCCTGACGTTTAGTGATACTGAGCCTCTTCTGTGCTTAGCTGTCATTTATTATCTTTCTTTCATCCCTGATATCTTTCCTGCTTACTTCTGCATGGTTTCTCTTTTATTAGAATTGCGATTGAGCTTGAACTCACGACCCAAAGATCAAGAGTTGCATGTTGCACCGACTGAGCCGACCAGGTGCCCCCAGCCTTGAGTCTTTCTATTCAGGAACAGGGGCTGTCTTTCCAACTGCTTTTTATTTTCTTTTTCCTGACTTTTCAGTAAAGCTTCATAAAGATTTTGTACACTTTGGATTTATTCCTGGGTATTGTGTCTTTTTGTATTGCCATGATGAATAGCATTTTTCCCCCATGTACCTGTCCCAATGGATTTTTGATAATGGTGGCTGGAATGAATGGCTTATTTTGGACTTGTCCCTGTTGAAACACAGGTTCACGAAACACATCTTCTATTATTGATCCCCACTGGCTTGGATCGTTCCTTCTTAGGAATTCAGAGTCTTCTGTAAAACCAAAGCTATCACAGTGCCTCTTCCTGCCTTGGACCATTTATAAAAATATTAAGGAAGGTCGATCCTAGAACTTACCTTTTAAGATCCCATAGCATCTATACTCATCCATCTCAAACCAAGCTTATTTCTAGGAACCCCAATGATTGTACACCTTCTTCTAGAGAAGTCCTTAGGTATCCCGATCCTGTGTTCCTATCTGCGTCAACTCCTACGTTAGCCAAAAGGCACCCTTTCCTTCTGTGTTAATCCTCTCCTGCGTCGTTTTCCCCCGCCCCCATGTCTTCTCTCCCCTTCTGCCCCTCTCACCCAGTTCTTCCTTCTTCTCTGCCTTCCGGCCACTTTTCTTTTCTTCCTTTGTTTCCTTAGCAGCTTCGGACCTGAGCAGGGACTAACTTCTGACCTCTGCTCTCCACAGCCAGGACATCACAGGTGATATTTACTACTTCAACTTTGCCAACGGGCAGTCCACGTGGGACCATCCGTGTGACGAGCACTATCGGAACTTGGTGATCCAGGAGCGGGGGAAGCTGTCAACTCCAGGAGCCATTAAGAAGAAAGACAAGAAAAAGAAAAAGGACAAGAAAGACAAGAAGGACAAAGAGACCTCCAAAAGCCTGCTGGTGAGTCCGTGGATGCCAGCTCCCGGAGAGCTGGGGCTGACGCCTGCGGGGACACTGGGAACCCTGGGTGCTCACGGCTGGGAAGTTCAGAACAACACCAATAACACTGATCACTTGATAGTACGTCATCTCAGTTATGCCTGTCTTCCGGCAGAATTTCCTTTAGTTTTAGCTTCTGGAAGTTCTTACCATCTCTGAACAATTCATCCCCCCCACCCCGCTCCGGGAAGCACATGTCATGTAGGAGGCTTAGCGAGAGAACGCTCCCCTTGGGTTGTTCTTTGCGGCAGTCTGAGAAGTGATACCATCTGCCCTCCCCGCCCGCCGCCCCTCTCCCCAGAGTGGGGCATGGGGGTTGGGCGATAGACAGAGAACCTAGGTGAGGGGAGTGTCTGTCTTCCCCTTTCAGAGCCAGGCGTTCTGCGGTGCAAATTCATAGACCTCAGGTGTGGCCATCGTTCAGTTGTCAGAAAGCCAGTGCCTTCGAAGTTCAGAGAGGAAAGCTTTGGGTTTTATCCACTTCCATGGGTTGTTCCTTTTTTGCCGCCGTCCTCGGGTAGGGGTGCGTAACTGAAGTCTGATGGTGGTGCGAGCACCTTGGTCTCAGGTAGCCTTTTCACTCCAAGTTGAAAGTGCTCTTTCCCTTTATTGTTTTATTTGTCCCTCCAGTATGTCCAAACTTAAGAGGCAGAGTTACTGCCCTGGGCTTAGAGGTAGAGAAGCTAAGACTTGGGGCCATGCTGATGTGAGGCCCAGGCTTTACTGGCGCAGGGGATCTTTCACCCAGGCGGGGTGCAGGTGGGGCGCATTGAGGAGGGAGAGAGCCCAGGCCAGCTGGGTGGGGAGCACCGAGAATACCCTTTCAACACTGTTGGCTGTCCAGTCCATTTGCTCTCTGTCTGTAGTCTGTTTCCCACCAGTGCCTGGTGCTTGCATTTCAGTGAAGATTCCCACCTCCCTCCCTTCCTTCCTTCTCAGGGTGTCAGTTCTAGCATCAGATGGTTGCTGATGAATTTATCTCTTTCAGTACTTCCAAGCTCCACAGATACTCTCCCCTCCCCTCCTCCACCCATCGCTACTCCTCATTCAAGAAATAAGATGACAAGCCTGTCCCTTCAGATAGAGAAAAGAGGACAAGTAATTTACACATTGGTTGAATTTTCTAATGTTATGTGTTTGAAAGGCAGAAGGTGGATAATGGGCTCTTCACTAACCCAGGACTACCCAGTGTCTGGACAGGCTCTGGCCTGAGTAACGGCGAGAGAGGGCACGAAGCAAGGGTTCCGGGGTGGAGGGGCGAGTCGCCGAGGTCTAGATGTGTGGCCGAGCACTTGGAGCTCCCTGTTCAAAAGGATTCCTTCTGTGGTTTCAGGAGCTGAGGATGATTGGAAAGTCCTGGGCTCTGGATGTCAGGCTCAGGACAGTGCCTCAGACCTGGGTTTGTCTAGACGGCAGGCCCGAGCCGGGAGGGTGAGCTGGGCTCAGGTGGCTTGGGCGCTCTTGAGGAGTACGTGCACAGGCCGGCCGGAGCCTAGTGTGAATGTTCACAGGGTGAGCGTCATCGTTCCGAGCTTCCTCTATCCCTGAGGTTCTGAGTCTGTGGACCTCTCCTGAGCTGTGCCAATTCATGTGTTTGCTAGAAGACCTGGACGGAATTCCCAGGGTGCAGCCCTCTGGCTGGGTCTCCCCTCTTCTCTCCCTTCTTAGACCATTTCTGGTAGTCCTTGGCAAGGCTGGCGGGTTTTATAAACTTAACCAGTCACACAACTGAGAGCTTGATGATACTTTAGGGGTAATCTGGTTGGTGGTTCAGACCTTTGTTAGTAGTGAAGCCCTGTCTTCTGAGCAGTTCCTCTGTGGAGGTCCAGCCTCTCAAGAAGTGGAGCTACCCCAGCTGAACTTGGGGGTATAGGTCTTAATGACGCCCCTTCCCCGTGACATGTACACTCTTGGGGCCTCCGTGGTCCTGTGTGCACCTAACCTGCAGTTTCCATGAAGCAAGCTTTGTAAGCCGTTGGTCTGGTCCAGCCTCCTCTTTATAGATCAGGAAACTGGGGCCCAGAAAACAACGAAGCCCGAGGGAGGTTTTGGCTCCCCCCCCCCCCCTCCGCCTCCTGGTTTGTGTTTTACTTTAAGTAGAGGGTGGGTTTCTGCTAAGGGCTTGCCCAGGGCTGAGGTACCAAGTGTAAACCCGAAGTGCTCTGTCTCAGTTTTCACTGCATGTTTATATACCCATCTAGGAGACACAGCCTGAGCAGGGACTTCTGCCGCCTCCTTCCTTTCTCCGCGGCTCGTCCCCTGTCCCAGCACCTGGCCTTGCTGATCTGGACCTAGAGCAAGAGACGCAGGCTAGAAGTGAGGGCTCCTCTAAGAAAGGGATGAGCCCATGCATGCTGGGTGACATCCCCTGGCCTCTCGTGGGCACCCTGCCTGGCAAGCTACAGCCACTCTCCAAAGGCCAAGCTTCCCGAACCAACTACATCTTTGCCGACGTGGAGAGAATCTTAGGTAGGGCCCCGGCCCTGTGCAGGACAGAATTGGGTGATCAGCAGGGTCTGGGGAAACCCCAGAAGTTGACAGAGAAAATCTACCTGGGGTTTTCAGACCCTGAAATAGAAGATCTGGAACTGAGGACCAGACAGCCTCTGGGCGCCAAGAACACCGGGCCCCTCCAGCACGGGCAGGATGTTCTGGAAGGCAGGAGCCAGGCCTCTGTCCATTCAGAGCTTTCTGAAACTAGCAGAGGCCCACAGCTGAAAGGGGAGCAGCATGGCCACCACATGGCCAAATGGGGCTCCACTGGCCCCGGGGGCGACAAGAGCCAGAGCCCCATTCCCTCACCATCCCCTGAGGAGGACCCCTCCGGGTCCCCCTGTTCCTCTGACCACATGCCACCTGCCAGGAAGAGCCTGTTGCTCTTGTTAGATAGTAGCCTAGCCAAAGGCCTGAGCTGGCAGGGAGTTCCTGAGGAAGGCGGGAGTATGGGCAGGGGGAGGAGGAGAAAAGAGCCCCCAGGATTGTGGATGGGACAGGTGTCCAAGCTTGTTAACGCAGATGGCCCTGGGAGCTGTAAGGAGACAGAACCCAGTGACCCTGAGGCTCCAGGGACCTCAGCTAAAGAGCCACCTCGGGAACTCTTCCTAATGCCACCTGATCCGCTGCCATTAGAGCCAGCCCAGAGTGTCCCTTCAGGGAGTTCCCCCAGAGGGTCCCCTACCAGTGAGAAGGGACAACCCCCAGCGTCTCCAGAGCCCCCCGAAGAAGACAGGAAGCCTAGTGAGTCTGAGCCTGACTTGGAGAGCAGTAGCCTGGCTTCTCACCTTGGCTCTCAGATCCTGGGTGAGGTGAACAACTTCGCCTGGGACCCGCAGATCTCTCAGGGCTCTGGGTGGGGCAGGGGTCAGGCAGGTCCCAGCCCCAGAGCTCAGCCCACCGGCCCCTTCCTAGCGCTCCAGGGGTCCCCCGCACAGAGCTCTGCTAAGGAGCATTCTGAGGGCGAAGACTACTCTGAGGATCAGAAGTTCTACCAACACATCCTTCAGATGGTCAAGATCTCCAAGCGGCTGGAGGGCCTGGGGCTGCCCGAGAGCACGCGGGAGGTGCCGTGTAAAGCTGTCGGCAGCACGGTCTGCTGCATGGCGCCCGAGTCTCCCAGGATGTCTAGTGAGGGTGAGCACAAGGCCATCGGAGCCATGGAGAGGGACTCGAGGCCTCTGGCTTGGGAGCCGGAGGTGCTGGTGCGTTCTCTGGAGGTGGCTCTCGCCCCCGCCGGGCAGGAGGCCTGTCAGCAAGCCTGCTTCCAGCCAAGCAGCAGCCCCCTCAGGGAGGGGCCAGTCGAGCTGCATTCCGACAGAGGGCTTGCTGCAGAGCCGGGCGCGACACAGCTTCTCAACCAGGTAGGCTCCATGGCATGCGTGGCCCGCAGGCGCCCGTGAACTTGGCAGGGAGAGAGCAGGTTGAGTTGACTCAGCCATTAGGCCTGCGTTCCTGTTAATTGCTCTCCCCTCGTAACTGCTGATCCCTTAACTGCCCGGGCAGGCCGTCTGGTGGGCTGATGTATATTTCACGTTTCTTGTACCCATCACCCAACTGTAAGATAGCAGCCCAGAGGGTCTAGACTTCTCTTCCCTAGAGCCCACTGTATTTCACAGGCGGGTCACAGGCTTTGCAGATGATCAGTTTTGAGGATGAGTAAGGTGACGCCGATCATGACACTCATCCAGGATCTACGTACCTTCCCAGAATTTGGGAGGACTTGCCCTTTAGGTGATTATGGATGGAGGCTTCCCAAGGGGATACCCCACCCCTAAGCTCTGAATTTAGTCCCTTCTTGGAATCCCACAGAACTGGAACACCAATTCAGTCCCGAGGGGCCGAAGCCCAGCATCTCCTTGCCTCCTGGGGCTCCCCGAAGCCATATGAGATACCTGTGTCAGGCTTGTACAGACCTCGTTTATACCCTCACTTCCTCCACTGCTGGGATTTGCCAGAGGATGCTGCTGTCCCTGTCATTCTGACCCCTTTGTCCCTTTAAGGAGTCCCACCATAGTCTTCATTCAGAAGAAGCCAAGCTGGGTCAGAGATCACAGGGGTCACTCCGAGTCCCCCCAGATCTTCTTTTGCTGTTACCCAGCTGTGGCTTTACCCAACCAGAGGTTGTTCCCTCTGGTTTCTAATTGCTGGCGTGCCCTGGTTCTCTGTTAGCTTTAATAACTACTGTAGCACTATAAATATCGGATAAGCTGCAGATGATCCTGAACGTTTTAATTAGCCCAATGGCAGCAAGTTTATCCGCTCCGAAGGACAACGCCACACACAGCCCAGAGTCAGAGTTAATGGCCAGCTATAGAAGATGATCAGCTAGGAGCCAGGAATGTGTAATTTCCCTGCTACCCACTGATTTGGTAAAGGCCTGGGAGAACAAAGCCCTCAGCATGCCTGTCTCCCTCCTTCAAGCCCCCAGCACGTTAGCAAATTAGCCGTGTTTGGAGTCTATACTTTTCCACAAACACAGTGTGGGAGGGACTTTGGTTGCTGATATGCTGGGGCTGGTTGGGAGGGCTGAAGTCAGGAGGCACGGGTCCAGTGTGCCCCCAGGTTACCTCAGGGAAGCTTTTCTGGGCTGCTTTTCTGCCACAGCCAGAAGGTGGTGTAAAATACTGGCTTAGAGATAGCTCTGGGCTTCAGTCCCATGTCTGTGCCCCCACGTCCCCCTTGCTGGCCCTGTGACTTTGGGCAGGGGTCTTGATCTCTCCAGTCTCCATTTATGGGGATTGTGGCCTCGGGTTGTGAGAGCAGAACAAGAGATGGCACGGAGGGGGCTTAGCCGGGTACCTGACGCTGGCTCTGTAGGCCAGCCTGAGCACTGTCCGTTCCTTCTCTGCCTGACAGAAGTACCTGCAGCGGCCGGTTGTTGGGCATTGCTTTGGGTGTTCAAAAGCTTGAGAGTTCACTCCACTTTCACACGAGTGTCTGATGCCCCTCCCACCAGAAAGGGGTCCTGGGGAGAACCCGCCCGGTGGTCTGGCCCTTTTAGCCTACGCCATGGATGAGACGGTGGGCCCCTTGTACTTCCTCAGTTTGGCTTCTTCTGGGCTCCCCTTTCTCTTCTAGGTCCCCGTGGGGTTAGAGAGGAATGGTTACGTGTTGTTTTATATGTTTTAAGTTTGAGCAATGAATTTTAAAGAGCTCTTTGTAAATTGTCCTCACAATGCTATCCTTGCCCCTGCTCCTAAGCCCAGACTGTAGCAGCGTGAAGCCCTCTAGTAACAGCCAGTCCGCAGCGTCGGTGTAGCCCGGACCTCACATTCATGAGCTCTTTCGAACTTCCCAACAAACCTTTCTTTTTAAATGGCAAGGCAGCCATCATCTCCATCTTGCAGATGAGTAAACTGAGAGTCCAGGGCTATGTGAGTGTGCCGAGGTCTCTCCAATTCTGACTCCCAGCCTGGTTTCTTTCTGTGTCCTCGTTAGCCCTAAGCCTTCGTTTGGCCGGCGGGAGAACGGGAAACCGGTTGGTCCTTTGGGCCGGGCTCCTTCAGCCACCTTCCTCATCAGTAGAGCGGGGAAAGAAAGCTCTTCTTTTGCTGTTAATGTATTTTTTTTCATAGTTGCTATTTGTTTTAATCAAAGTTATATGTGCCCATGTCAAAGAAAGTCAAATAGTACCAAAAGGCGTGTGTACCCCTCCCCAGAAGCGACAGCTTTCTTCTCATGCATACTTCCGTATTTGTAAATAATGTGCTTAGACTGCTTTTGCTTGGTTCATCAGTTTTTTACTTCATCTATTGAGACTCCTCGCTCTGGTAGATGAGGCTTTTGTCTCTGCCCTCCCTCTGCCCCCCCCCCCCCACTTCCTACATGGCTTCTGAAAGGGGAGCAGAGCCCTCCACAGCATCTGCCAGATGTGAGACCACCGTTTGCTGTGCACTAGCAGCAAAGTTAGGAGAATCAGCAAAGCCAGCCTGTGATTTCTCACACAGTTGGCACAATGGTAATTTCTGGATGTTGTGTTTCATTAGCAGCCTCTGAACGGAGGTGGTTTAAATCTGAGCGGGCAGGATTTAGATGTTTTATTTTTATATCTGTTTCCGACACTCTGGGAGCCATGTGGTTTCTTGGGTTTGTAACAAGATGTTTTGTATTGCCCAGGCCCTGGGCTCCTCGTTAGCCCCAGTCCACGTCCCTCTTGGGGGCCTGGCTCCCTTAAGAGGCCTCACGGATGCCCCGGCCTCTGCTCTTCGTGGATCGCAAAGTGTGAGCCTGGGGAGCTCAGCGGAGTCTGGTCAGCTTGGAGAACTCACACTGGTAAATGGGTTTTTTTTGTGTGCGTTCAGTGTATTTAGTTGCTGTGGGTCCTCCGTGTGTCATGCTAGGACCTGTGGCCCATGGATGATGAGGAGAGGGCTGGGCCGAGTCGTCAGAGTTCATAATCAGGCGGGAAGGCAAATCACACTTGTGTGGTGCCGCACGTGGACTCTGGGCCACAGAGGACAGGCCTACGCCATGGGGCTGCAGTGCTAATTCTCTCATCCTTGCAGCCAGGGCGGGAGGGGTCAGATAAGGGAGGGATCACCGTGAGCTGGGATCGCCTGGGTGGGCTTCCTGGACGTGGCGGACTTGTGCTGGGGGACATCCAAACCGCAAGAGAGTGGGGCAGGCCTTCCACACGTCCTTCTGGTGCATCCCTTGACTTTTCTTCTCTACTTTGGAGCCTCCACAGGGTCTCAGGACTTCTGATTACACGAAGGGTCTCTTGGGCTCCATCCACGAGGACAAGAAAGCTCTCAGCTTCTTGGCTTTAGGGGAGGAGACCAACGAGGAGGATGAGGCAGAGAGTGACAACCAGGTAATGATGAATCCTCTTCCTGCCTGGAAACCCTTTGTCCTGTTTAGAAAAGAATTTTTTTTAAATTGTGGTCAAATATATATAACGTGAAAGTTACAATTTTAACCACTTTTAAGCGTGCAATTCAATGTGATACAGTGTAATACGGTCATTACCACAACCGGCTCCAGAATTTGCTTGAAACTCCAAACAGAAACTCTCTACACATTGAACAGTAACCCCCCACCCCCACCCAATGTCTGGTCTCCTGTCTAGTCTGTGTTCTGTCTTTAATTTGCCTGTTCTAGATATTTCATTGAAGTGGACTCATACAATATCTGCCACTTTATGTCCGCCTTTTACGTAGTGTGTTTTCAGGGACCATCGTGTTGTAGCATGTATGGCTGAGCAACTCGTTGTCTGATGTGCCACGTGTTGTTCATCCATCTGCTGATAGACACTTGGGTTGTTTCCACCTTTTAGCTGAGCTCTGCTGCTTTAAAAATAAGTAAAGTGGTTTTCTAGCCCACAGCTTCATTTCTTGCCCAATCTATGTACCTCCTGGGTCTGACCCAGAAAGTGTAAGAACCGAGGAGCTTCGTGGCCCTCACCCTCGGCTGACTAGTTTTCTTGACTTACCATACCTCATAATCCTGTTTGTTTTCAGAGTGTCTGCAGCTCAAGTGAGCTTCTTAAGAACCTGCACCTGGACATTGGGGCGCTGGGGGGTGACTTTGAGTATGAGGTAAGAGCCTAAAGCCCGGTGGACCATGCCTCAGCCTGGTGTGTTCCTCCTTCCTTCTGAAGGCTTTCTCCTGTGGGATGCGGATTTGGAAAGAGAACTGTCTTGTCCCAAAGCGGTCTAGGTGGGATTTCTGGGGTTTGGGGAAGCACAGAGCGGGAAGGAATCAATCCGTTCGCTCATCTGTCAGGTGACCACCACTGGCTGCGTGCTGCCACATGAGGCACCTTGCAGGGCGCCGTAGGTCACGCAGGCCTAAGTCAGGTATGATGACTGCCCTCTGAGGGTTTACAATCTCACAGAAGAGAGACTTAGATTACTGGAAAACAGAGGAGAATGCAGTGAGGCTGTAAGGAAGGTGAGAGGGAATGCCGTGGAGAGAGGAATTCGGGGTCTCCCACCAGGACAGGCTCCGTTGAGAAACTGCCATGTGAGGTGTGCCCTGGGGGAGGACAGTGCACAGGCCTGGCTGGGCAGAGGTGAGTGGGGAGGGAGAAGCCCGCATGCAGGGCACTGCACAGGCAGAGGGTGCAGGACGGGTTTGGGGAAGGCGAGGGCGTCTCTTCCAGCTGGCGTACGGCGCGCACGTGGGAGATGGTCTGTGGAGACAGCCTGGGCTGGATCGCCGGGCACCCGAGCGCCCGCTGAGGAGTTGGGATTGGGCTGCTCAGGCACCGGGGGCCAGCGGAGGTTTTGCACAGAGGTGTTTCATCCCGGGTCTTCACAGCTGCCGACCGTCGGCCACTGTACTGGGCCCAGTGGAGATACAGGAGTCAGAGGGGCTTGGGCTGGCCTCACAGAGTTTGCAGCTGGAGAGAGAGAAAGGACAGCAGGTACTTGGTGTTAAGTGAGCACTCAGAGCTGTGTAAACGGCTCTCCAGGCAACTGTAAAGCAGGGCAGTATGTGCAAAGGGCTGGGGTGCAGGAGCCCACTCTGGGGGAGCTCTGTGGGGAAGAAACCACTTGCCTGAAGATCAGGAAAGACGTGAAGAGATGACACTTGAATTGGCTCTTGAAGAGCAGGTGTTTAGACGTAGGGGTGGAAGGGATAGTTTAGGCAAGCGCACAGCCTGGGGAATGCAGGCTGTGGACGGGAATGGCTTCCAGACTCTCCCCACCGTAGTCCTGTCGCTTCTGACCTCTGTCCTCTGCCCTCTCCTCCGTCGCCACCAGAATGTTCTTTAGAACAAACAAAACCCAAAATTCACCATGCTGTTGTAATACTTACAACCCACCCCCCCATGTGTTTTTTCTACTTGAAAAGGCACATTCCATAGTAGATACCCTTTGTCTACTGTCCAGTTTATTAGTTGTTCAGCAGTTAGGATTTCTCTCCATATTCCCGAAGCATTTACACAACCAGGAAATCATCAAGTCAACAGCTCAGATTTCCCCAAACTTGTGAATGTTGATTGCAGGCTGACTCACACTTTTCACAAGTCTCACATATGAAATTCTTTGACATACTTGAAACACTGTCACTGAAAGTGACCGCTCACATTTCGTTAGAATGTCACAGAGCTGACCAGTACAGCAACAGCGCCTGTATCATAGGTTTAAGTTTGTTTTCTTCTTTTCTCTTCCCGTGTCCTCATTATCCTTTATCATAACTCTTACCATCTCTGACTCTTGCTTCTTGGTCTTCAGCTCGCCTCAAGAGCTGGGGGTCAGTGTCTCGGTGAGCGGAGATTGCAGGTGCTGGCTGACAGCCCGGGGTTGTGGTTGGGCCTTCCCTGGGTGGCCCAGCTCTAGCCACAGGGCAGACCCTGTTGTGTTGTTACGCTGCCTCTTTACCCCAGAAACTGTCCAGATTTTTGGCTGTGCACAATCAGATAGGCTTTAAGAAAAAAAAAATTTTGTCAGAGATGGAGTGTGAGCAGGGGAGGGTCAGAAAGAGAGGAGACACAGAATCCGAAGCAGGCTCCAGGCTCTGAGCTTTCGGCACAGAGCTGGACGCGGGGCTCAAACTCACGAACCGTGAGATCATGACCTGAGCTGAAGTCGGACGCTTAACCAACTGAGCCACCCAGGTGCCCCTAAAAAATTTTTTTTTAATGTTTATTTTTGAGAGAGCGAGAGAGGGACACAATCCAAAGCAGGCTGTCCGCACAGGGCTCGAGCCCAGCCGTGAGACCATGGCCTGAGCCGAAGTTGAAGTTGGTCGCTCATCCGACTGAACCACCCAGGTGCCCCTCAGATAGGTTTTGATTGTGACTTTAACACTTTCTGCGAAATGTGGCATTGTCCCCCCACCCCCACCCCCCGCCCTTATTTATCATCATCGTGATCTGTGTCTGTTTTGAAACAGTTCCTTGTGAGCAGGGCCTGGTCTATTTGCACTGCATCCAGAGCCTTGCAGTGCATTTGGTTCCCTGAAATGACAACTTCGTTTCCTCTTGTCTGCTACTAAGACCTTGCACAGCTGCTGAGCAGCAGCTCAGGTGTGGAGCCTAGAAGGGTGACCATGAGCTGGAGTGGGGCCCCAGGGGGACCTACTGGCTGTTGGAGGGAGAAGAAGAAAGTCTCCACGAGCCCGAGCACATTGGGAGCAGAGACTCTGCCCTACTCGTGTGTATGTGGCCAGCGCCGGCCCACTGCCTGGAACACAGGAAGCGTGTGGTATGTTTTGCTGAGGGGTTGAGAGAACGAATAGGTGAACAAATGAGAGAGAGCCCCGCGGGGACGGGAAGGGGGTCCCTGCGGGTGTCTTCTTCCCTGGGCTGTCCCAGGTCCTGGCCGGAGCGGACGCTGGGCTCCCGCTGCCAGCGGGCGGGCTGACGGTCCCAGTGTGGGTCAGTCACGGTGCACTTAGACTTCGGGCTGATGTTTACTTCATAATTTACTTCATAAATGTCAACATGTGCTGGATGTTTCTTCGGGGGAGTGGGAGCTTTCAAACATAGTTTCTATAATCTCTTTAAGAGAAGCAGACAACCCAGTGTGACGGGGGGAGGCATCTGTAGCATCCCTGCAGATTTCACGCTTTTTGTCACATGGAGCGTTGGATTCCTGTGTCCCAGCTCTGGGAGGAAGCAGGGCTTTTCCAGGCAGAGAAAGAAGGTCGGTGTTGGGGATGAAGGGGGGTTTCAGGAGAGACAAAGCTGCCTCTGTTTGGACCACACCCTTTGAAAATGGCGTTTGTCTCAGTATATAGACCCTGGACCCTTTGAGCTGCCCATTTCTTCTCGCTCTTGGGTGACACGCCCCACGGCGCTGGGTGGAAGTGTCCTGCCACCCTGTCTCTGTGCCGTCAGCAGTCACTTTGCTCATGATTCCATGCGAGGGCAGTAGGATGGTGAGAATGCCTGCTTCTCTCTCTCTCTCTCTCTCTCTCTCTCTCGCCTTCCCCCCCCCCTCCTGCCTTCAGTGTAAACCCATTTCTAGTCTGTTACAGAATCAAAGGGGATGGGTTCATGGAACAGACTCTGAGGATGGGTGTGAGTGAGGAGGGGAGGCGGAGGGGTGGGCGAGCAGGCGGCAGTGTGGCCTTGTGGCGCTGGTGAGAACCCTTCATTGGATCAAAGGAGAGGGAGGGAGCCGGGCTTAGAAATAACAGGATGATGTCAGTGTGATTGGGAAGCGCTAACAACATGGGGTGGGGGACAGTGCAAAGAATTGAGACCAGCTAGGTGGGAATGAGACGTGGCGAATAACCTGACTGATGGCTGGCTTGGGGGGTTTGGCTCCCCCGACCCCCACTCTCCCCCTCCCAAGCCATGTGGATTATAGAAGCCCCTGCCTTTTGGGGATATGTTAAATATTCATGAACTCTCCAGCACCACCTTCCTCATGCAGATGACAAGGTTGTTTTTGAAGAGGCAGCAGATATTTGCCTTGAGATACTCCAGGGCCTGGGTTGTGACAGGAGGAGACAGAGCACAGACGAGCTGAGAGCAAAGTGCTGCCGAGGGCGCAGGCCCCCCCACCCTCCAGGACTGTGTACCCCACAGAACTCTGAAGCGGGAGGCTGTACGCCGGGACTTGGCGTGTGCACCCTGGGCAGGCCTCGTGAGGTGATGAGCAGGGCTGCGTGGAGGGTGTGGGGCCTGGAGTCAGTCACACACTGTGCGTAATCTGTGACAAATGTCTAGTCTCCCTCGGACGTACCTCTGGCTGTCAGATTGCTGTACTTGGTTGACACGGGCTCAGAGAATGCAAACTCCTTTCTTTTAGTATTAGCCATGTTTTCGTATCTTAATATTTAGGGGTGTGGAGCGTGCTTGGAATTTTGTCTCTCCCACTCTCTCTGCCTGCCCCCCACTCCCCCACGTGCGTGTGCATGCTCTCTCTCTCGAAAATAAATAAAAATAAATAAACATTAGGGGTGCCTGGGTGGCTCAGTTGTTTATGCATCTGACTTTGGCTCAGGTCATGATCTCTTAGTCTGTGAGTTTGAGCCCAGCATTCTGCTGACAGCTCAGAGCCTGGAGCCTGCTTCAGATTCTGTGTCTCCCTCTCTCTCTGCCCCTCCCCTACTCTGTCTCTCTTTATCAAAAATAAGCATTAAAAATACATAAAAAGAAACTTTAAAAATATCTTTTTTAAAAAAATTTTAATATTTACTTTTGAGAGAGAGAGAGAGACAGACAGACAGAGTGTGAGCAGGGGAGGGACAGAGAGAGAGGAAGACACAGAATCTGAAGCATAGATCTGAGCTGTCAGCACAGAGCCCAATGTGGGGCTCCAGCCCATGAACCATGAGATCATGACCTGAGGCGAAGTTGGATGCTTAACCGACTGAGCCACCCAGGCGCCCCTGAAAAAATAGCTTAATGTTTAGGTAGACAGAATAGGATAAACCCCATAATGGGAAAATCTTTGAAGAATTTAAGCTTGAGAATGGCACAGATGGGGCCTCACAGCCTTGTGGCCTGACGACATTCTCTCATGTATACAAATGGGAGCCTCTACCTGTGTCAGGTGTTCTCTGAATTTTGATAGGCTACTTGTTTTATATCATCTTGAATATTCATAGTTAACATTTGTTTAGCTATTTTCTCTTTAATAAACAGCATATTAAATAGAGTCTAATCCCTGCATAACCTTGTAAAATAAATTGTCCATCTCTGTTTTACAGAGTAGGCGCCCCTGTAGCTGCACAACACACTTATCTGGAAAAATTCAATCAACGAGTATTCACTGTGCACTTACTACGTGCCAGATACTAAGCACTGAGGATAGCAGGGAGCTGGTCTGGTGAGGGAAGCCCATAGGAAGTCAGCAGTGACAGTACAGTAGATGTTGTGGCGGGATGGAAAGGCCCATCTCAGGACAGCTGCCCCGTGGATCAAGGAGGGCTTCCTGGAAGATGTGATACCGTGAGGACCAGTGGGAGTTTCTCAGGGTAGATGGAGTGTGCGCGCGCATGCTAAGAAGGTGCATGGCATCTCAGGAGCAGCGAGGAGTCTCCCTGCAGCCGGGCCCTGGCAGGTGGCTCTTGAACCTTGGGGGGGCCCCCAACCACATTGGGGTGGGTGCCGAGGATGCAAGTTGTTCCGTGCTGTGCAGAGTGCCTTCGTGGAGGAGGAGGCTGATTGGGGCCATTGTGACCGCCCTCTGAGCTTCTTCCCACAGCAAGGCCCTCGAGGGAGGCTGGGGGAGTGACTTGGTGGGGCACAGAGGGTGACCGTTTGCTAAATGAAGTGAAATAACCAACTTAAAAAAAAGAAGGTGCACGGCACAGAGCAAAGGGGCACGTGTTTCTCCACAGGCAGGACCAGGGGACGCCTGCAGGGTGGGGCTGCCCGTGACCCGAGAGAAGCAGGCAGGGGCTGGGCGAGGAGCCCTGGGCCGTGTGAGGGGACGCGGGCTTTATCCCGAAGGCCATGGGTGCTGCTGTAGCCTGACCCTCCTTTGTCCCCTAACCCGAGGTCTGTCGCCGCCTTCTCTTCCTGAGATGCCCATGGCCAGGGTGGATTGGCCCTGCTTGCTCATGGTGGAGTGTGGCTGGCCAGATACCCCTCCCTCACCCCGAGAAACTCCCACCCTCTGGGGGTCCGTGGAGCCCCTCAGAGTGGGCACTGAACTACTGAGTGCTGGCCGCATTTGCGGGGATTGGGAAGGGAAGGCCTGGCCTCACCCTGCGTGTGTTTCTCTTGAAGGGGAGCGGCCCCTTTCGGCCCTTTCTCTGAGCCCAGAGTTCATGGCCGAGTTCTCCCACGCTCCAGCTACGGATGCTGGGAGATGGGCAGCACCAGAGTGTACCCTGCCCGGGCACGAGGGAAGCCGCCCCCTTCTCTCTTTCACCTGCTTTTCTCCCTGGGACAAGCCTGGGGCTGATGACACTCTGTCCAGTGCCCCTTGCTTTGGGCAGCAAAGGCTCAAAACCAGGGCTACCAGAGACATTTCACTTTTCTCCATTCTCAGCTGAATTCCTTGAGGGCAGGATCTATGTCTTGTTGGTATATGGGTTCCCAGGGCACCATCTGGCACACAGAAGGCACCCGGTGAGTGACCATGTACGACTCACAATAAGCTATTCGTTAACATTTCTGGAACACTTAGAGTCTGCCAGGCACCGTTCTCAGTTCTTGAGCTCACTTAGTATTAACTCATTTAACCCTCCCCAAACCCAGTGAGCTAGGCCCTCCTGCATCCCCATGTTTTAGAGGAAGAAAACTGAGGCACAGAGAAGTTAAATCATTTGCCCAAGGTCACCGAAAGTGTGGGGCCAGGATTCGAGCCTAAGCAGTCCATCTCCGTCTCCGAAGCTGAGCTTGAGCTGCCCTGCTTCCCTGCCTCTCTGCTGTCCTTGGAAAGTCTGAGTTGACTTGTCCGTAGGCTGCTAGACCTGCAGGCGGATGGTCGTGCCTTTGGGTTCAACAGATGCTTTGACAGACAGACAGCGTCTGGAGGCTGCGTTTAGGGCTTCTCTGGGGACCACTGGGTTCTAGTCGTCAGGCCCCTTGGTTGAGTCTCCAGGGTGAGGAACCCGGAAGTCTAAAAAACTCCCACTCAGAAGTTCCTCACCCTGGCAGCCCCAGTGGGGTTTTCTGGAGGAAGGCTTCTCTTATTTCAAGGAAGGATTTGTTTGTTAGCCGGCTTTAAAGGTTTTTCCTAGTCTTCCAAAAAAAATTTTTTTTAAGATTTATTTTTGAGAGAGAAAGAGAGGTGCAGAGTGTGCACAGGGGGAGGGCAGAAAGAGAGGGAGACAGAGTCTGAAGCAGGCTCCAGGCTCTGGGCTAGCTGTCAGCACAGAGCCCCAGTGCGGGGCTTGAACTCACCAACCATGAGATCGTGACCTGAGCTGAAGTCGGTCACCGACTGAGCCACCCAGGCGCCCTGGTTTTCCCTAGTCTTGAAAGCGAGGTTTGTGTGTGAGAAACAGGGTGTGGCAGCTGGAGAGGGCGCTCCCTTTGGGAGACGCTGCTGAGGGCATCACCGCAATGACAGCCTCCAGCTGCAGTACCTTGACCCACCAGGCTCAGGCCGAGGCCGTGCTTGTTGACGGAGACAACAGGGCACAGGGCAGGAGCATTTCTGCCCGATGCAGGCTCTGGCGTGCCGGCCAAGGCTGCCTCAAAACCGGGCCTGGCCTGTGGCCTCGCCTGTCCCAGCCCCCGGCCCTCCCTGCCTGGCTCGGGTCACACCTGTGTTCCGAAGGTCTCCCAACCCCTTCCTCCTGCATAGCCATCTTCCCCCCACCCCAGTACATCTTCTCTTGGCTTCTTTCTGCTTCTCAGAGTGGGCAGTGCCCCGGGCTTGCTTGTACAAGGGGAGGCTTTAGGGAGAGAGCCACCCTCATTGCTATTGACGAAGGACACCTTCTGCCTGGTTCTCCCCACCCCCTACCACCCGCCTTTTAAAAATGAACAAATCGAAACTTTATACTTTGGTACTTTTTTCTTTCATGTGATTTTCCATCATCATCACCATAAATACATATTGACTTTTTAAAAAATAAATATTGACTTCTGAGTCTGCAGCCTCATGATTCGGCTAATGGGGCTGGGACGAGGAATTTCGTACTTGGGAACACGACTGTTGGTGATGGAGTGCAGGGCACTGGTTTGCCAGCCTGCCAGTGGTCGGGTCTGGTTGAGTGTGTGCAAATCAGCACACACACTTAGATTCAGCAGATCTGGAGTGGAACGGGGAAGTAGCTGCTGGGGTGTTTGATAACCATTGGTGTCAGAACGGGAGCGCTGGCCCGTACGGGTCAAGGAGTGACAGCTCTGTCTTGTTGCCAGTCTCCGAAGTCATTTGGTTAACTCTTGACGCCTCCTTGTCTGACATGGTCTTCTGCCGCCCAGGAGTCTCCAAGAACAAGCCAGCCAGAGGAGAAGGGTGCTTCTCCGGATTCAGAGGCTGCCGGGCCCCCCACTCCCGGCAAGCTCTTCAGCCAGGATGCAGACAGCAGTCTGAGCGCTGCCGATGGCCCAGGGCAGCAGGGAAGAGGGGCGAGCGCCTGGCTCCTGGGGAAAGAAAAGGATGAGGAGAGTGACCCCGGGATGCCCATGAGTGGGGTGGACCCCAGGGGCAGTCCGCCTGCCAAAGCCAGTGCAAAGGAGGCCCCCGAGGCCCCGGCGGATGCGGGACAAGAGGGTTCCAGGACGGAGGCGGAAGGAGGCACCGAAGGAGGAAGGAGGCGGAAGGAGGCGCCGAAGGAGGAGGCCTCTGTCCGGAAGGAGAGCAGATCAGACGCGAGCGAGGTAAGGCCCCCGTTCCCTGGGTAGTTGCCCTTTTCACCCTGAGCTGCCCCCTGAGCCCCATGCAGATCCCCGCCCCCACATCTCCATCACTGAGGTGGGGAGCTTCGAGCGCGGGCCCTGCAGTGGGCTGTTGGCATGGCCAGAACCCTTCGTTGTGACAGATCTGCCCAGACCCAGCAGGCAGCCAGATCCTGAGGGAAACTGCAAGCCTGCCCCCGTTAGAAGTTCAGGGGGGAAACTGGCCTTTCCATCGGCACCCTCTCGGGACGTTCGTGTTCTGTCCTGCTCCCTGCTCTTCCTGCCTCCCCGTTGAGCTTCTTGACACCAGCCCAGGGTGGCTGCAGCCTGTGTTTCAGTAGAGAGGGGAGGATAGAGGAGGGGGTGGCGGCCACTGGGAGCACTCTTCCCCGGGATCGGTCCCTTACGTTTCCAGAAGGCTCCTCTCACCGATGGCCTGGGGCCATGCTGTGGCAAGACCAGGCAGTGACACGGAAGTGGTTCCCAGTGCCTGTGGCGTCTTGGTAGTCCGGCCCTTAGTCCTGCTCCTCTTCCTGGTAGATGGGGAGGGGGCTCCTTTAAAGGGCGTTAAGCTACTTCTTGGAAAGGATGCTCTCATTCTGTTTTCAAGGACGGCAAGAAACCTCCTGCCAGCTTTCTAACCATCTCCCCTCCACTTTGCTTGGCTTTCCTTCCATGTGTAAACCCTTGCTGACCCGAGTCAGAGCGTGGCTGGCCATCCAGACTCAGCTCGGCTGGGCTGTTCAGCCTGAGTGGGGCAGGGGCCGCTGTGTGTGTGTGTGTCCAGAAAGGATGGGAGGGTCCACAGCCCCCTTTTAGGTTTTCCAGAAGAGGTGGGTTTTGGTTAGCTGTCAGTCCTGCGTTGGCACCTTGGCCTGAACGGAATTCCCTGGGTGGTGATCCCAGCCCTCTGTGCTGCGCTCTGGGTGACCTCTCTGTGGGTCTGTTTCCCCAGGAGTCAGAGATTAATGAGCATGTGAAGGAGCTGCAGCTGTCCGACTCCGCTGCTTCTGACCCCAAGTCCTCCCTGGGCCTGGTGAGTGGGGGGGGGGGGGGGGGGGGGGCTGGGCAGCAGGGTGGGGTGGGGAGCTGAGATTTGTGAGTCGCAGCTCATCACTTTGCCTGCTGCTACCAGGTATGAGGGTGGGGAAGTCAGGATTCGCTCCTGGATCTTGTCTACCTCTGGTTTCTCAGCCTGTTAGCTAAGAGTGAACACTACCTACTTCACAGGTTNTGTGGGTCTGTTTCCCCAGGAGTCAGAGATTAATGAGCATGTGAAGGAGCTGCAGCTGTCCGACTCCGCTGCTTCTGACCCCAAGTCCTCCCTGGGGGGGGGGGGGGGGGGGGGGGGGGGGGCTGGGCAGCAGCGTGGGGTGCAGAGCGTGGCTTTGTGAGTCGCTGTGCTTCACTTTGCCTACCATCACGCAGCTTGAGGGTGGGGAAGTCAGGATTCGCTCCTGGATCTTGTCTACCTCTGGTTTCTCAGCCTGTTAGCTAAGAGTGAACACTACCTACTTCACAGGTTTGCTGTGAAAAGAAGGTGAGGCAGAGAATGTAAAACCTTAGCCTATAAACATCAAATAGCTATAAGCTGTCATTACTGTTTCTTGTTTCCGCAGTGTGAATTGTCTGGGAGATATGTGATCTAGAGCCTCTGGGCTGTAGCAGAAACATTACATGAGTCTAGGAGGTTAGAGACGGTGTGTGTGTGTGTGTGTGTGAGAGAGAGAGAGAGAGAGAGAGAGGGAGAGAGAGAGAGAAATACGTGATCTAGAGCCTCTGGGCTGTAGCAGAAACATTACATGAGTCTAGGAGGTTAGAGACGGGGTGTGTGTGTGTGTGTGTGTGTGAGAGAGAGAGAGAGAGAGATACGTGATCTAGAGCCTCTGGGCTGTAGCAGAAACATTACATGAGTCTAGGAGGTTAGAGACGGTGTGTGTGTGTGTGTGTGTGTGTGTGTGTGTGTATGTATGTATGTGAGAGAGATATGTGATCTAGAGCCTCTGGGCTATAGCAGAAACATTACATGAGTCTAGGAGGTTAGAGACGGGTGTGTGTGTGTGTGACCACCGAGCAATGGCAAGGCGGCCCGGTCCTAAGGCTAAGAGGGCCGCTGTGGTTACATTTCCAAAGAGAAGAAAGACATTGTTCTGGAATGTCACCAGCCGTGGTTGCTTTGTCCCGGCCCTTCCACCCAGCCTGCTGCGTCCTGGCCTCGTCTGCCAGGTCTGTACCTACGGGGAGTAGTGGAGGGTGCTTTTTGGCAGCACCTCACCTCTGGAAAGCGTGCTCCATCTGTTTGGAGGAGGCGGATCAAAGGAAAGGGATCAGTGGGAGAGGGTCAGGGATGAGCAGTAACGGTACGAGGGGGTGCGGAGGAATTAGCAGGCTGTGTGCTCCAGCCCCTCGCTGAGCCAGGGGCTTAGGAGGCAGATGGCAGCTGCATTAAGTGGAGTAGGACTCAAACGGAAAGGAAAATGTCACCAAAAAAGAACACCCCCAAGCTAGGAAGGGGAGGCGGAGAGTCACTGTTGGCAAATACCACCACGAACAATAGGCGCGAACAATAGGCGCGTCACAGGACCCCTCGAGGCAAGAGCTCCATCCCCTGTGTGGGAGTCACCATGTGGCGAAGTGTGCCCGTGAGCATTTTTCTCCCCTCTGGGAGTGGGTGGAGGAGGCCATGGGCAGCAGGGCCAGGCCTTGGCTGGGTGTCCTGCCCCGCACCAGGGCTGACGACAAAACCGTCCCTATTAGCATGCTGTCAGGTAGCAATCCTTCACTTGACCCAGCAGGGCTCTTAGGCTCCAAAGGGTCAGGATTGTGGTCCTGTGGCAGCCAAAGGGCAGCGGGGAGCTGGCACCTATGTGGGCACTTGCTGCCTGTCCCAAAGAGAAGCCTGCAGACAAAGCGCCACTAATAAAGCCCCCTTGTCCTTTGGGGCTCTGGGGTAGGGGGAGAGAGCAAGCTGTGAGGAGCCCACCGCGCCCCGTTTCTGTGCTGCCCACAGGTCTTCTGGGTGCTGGGGCCTCCCTCCTGGTACCCTGGTTGGCTCTTTCCTGGTGCCCAACTAGTCCCGCGGTTGGACATCAGGAGGGAGAGACAGCTGGAAGGTGACATGCTTTGCAGCATGTGTCACACACAGCTTGGGTTTTGGGGTCTGCCCAGGGCACATCTGACCACCGGCCCCACTGCTTATCAGCTATGTGACCTTGGGCGAATTGCACGTCCCCTCAACCCTGCTTCCTTATCTGTGAGATGGAGATAAGAGTGTCAGTCTCACAGGGTTATTTTTTCCTCCGTGGTTTTATTATGAAAAAAAATTTTTTTTTTTAATTTTTGAGAGAGAGCACGTGCACATGTGCGCGTATGGGTGGGGCAGGGGCAGAGAGAGGGAGACACAGAATCCAAAGCAGGCTCCAGGCTCTGAGCTGTCAGCACAGAGCCCCACGCGGGGCTCAAACCTATGAACTGCAAGATCGTGATTTGAGCTGAAGTCAGACGCTTAACCAACTGAGCCACCCAGGTGCACTAGGAAATGTCAAGTGTACATAAAAATTAAAAGAATTGTAGAATTAATACACACATACTCTCCACCTAGTATGTCCCCTACAGTGAACGTTTTACCATACTTGCTGTATCACATATCTTTCTAGATTAGTCACAGTGTGATTTTGAAGATGAGAATAATCACTAGATGTAAAAATGTGTAGCACGTGCCTGGCCCATAGTGGGCCCCTTTCTGGAAGGTTGGGGGGGGAGCGGAGAGGCCATAGTGGACGCCGACAGTGACGGGCGGGAACAGCGCTGACCTCCCCCACCCCTCTCTCTAGGACTTCGGTTTTCGCAGCCGGATCTCAGAGCACCTGCTAGATGCTGATGTGCTTTCCCCAGTCCTGGGTCGAGCCCTCTGGGAGGTGAGTCTCTCTGGGTGCTGGGTAACCCAGAGCCGCGTCCTGCCCATTCTGGGGTGTGTTTCTGGGAGTCCACTTACTTCTAGCTCAGTAAGGCATGGCCCGGACTGTGTGTGTGAAGGCCTCCCAATCATTTCTGCTCTTTGCCGCTCTGAATTGAGTTATCTTCCCTGCCCCCTGCAACATATGTTTATCTGTTTGTCCATTTGTTTAGCAACTGAGGGTTGACCAGTTTGCTCAGGTGCAAAGCACTGTAGAGACTGTGCATTTCAAGGCACGTGCCGACCTGGCCTGTTCAGCCTCTGCAGCCCCATCCTCAGAGCACTCGCCACGCACGACCGTGCCCACCGAGCGCTCACGGTTCCCAGGGCACACCGTCCACCTCCTTCACTGCACTGCCTGCCATTTGGCTCCCCCCTTGGTCCCCAGCCCTTTCTTGGTCTTGGAGGCCCACCTCTGATGTCACCTCCTCCAGGCAGGATGAATTGGTGGATTTCCATTGCTCTGGCTCCAAACTCGAGCCAGTATCAGAATCCTGGGAGGCTTTAAAAAAAGACAGATTTCTAGGTCCTGCCTGAGACCCAATGAGGCCAGTAGCCTTTTTTGGGGGACATGCCACTTGGCATAAAGAAGTAGCAGGGCCTGGCCTGGATATGGTTCTCACGAGGCACTCTCTGAGGCAGACAGCCCCGGCAGAGGAAGTCCTGAGCTATAACCTATGACCAGGGTATTGGGGCACCAGGCAGTACCAGGCGCCCAGGAGGGCTGTCCACAGAGCCCTTCGCCAGCCTACGTCTCCAGTTCTCTCCTGTCTTCAGGCCATGCGCAGGTGGAGCCAGGAGGTGGAGCTAGAGGACCCAGTGGCAGCCCTTGGTGGCTCTGGCAGCACCGCGGGCCGGTGTGGCCCCCTTTGTCTTTTCTGCCGGCTCCTCCTCCGGCCAGGGCCAGGGCAGAGGCTTAGAACTGAACTCAACTAGTTCTTACTTGCTGAAAAATTTTTATGCTTTTAAAAAAATATTTATTTATATTAGACAGAGGCAGAGCATGAGCAGGGGAGGGGCAGAGAGAGGGAGACACAGAATCCAAAATAGGCTCCAGGCTCTGAGCTGTTGACACAGAGCCGAGTGCGGGGCTTGAACTCACAAACTGCGAGATCATGACCTGAGTTGAAGTCGGCTTAACCGACTGAGCCATCCAGGCGCCCTCAACATTTTTTTAATGTTTGTTTATTTTTGAGACAGAGCATGAGTGGGGGAGGGGCAGAAAGAAAGGGAGACCGAGAATCGGAAGTAGGCTCCAGGCTCCAAGCTGTTAACACAGAGCCTGATTCAGGGCTTGAACTCATGAACTGTGAGATCATGACCTGAGTCAAAGTCAGATGCTTAACTGACTGAGCCACCCAGGTGCCCCTTATACAGCTTTATCGAGATGCAGTGGACATAAAAATTGGACATACTTAAAATGCACCACTAGGTAAGTTTTACCAAATGTACGCACCTTTCAACCGTTATCTTGACTACGGTGATGGTTTGAAAGGCACGTAAAAATAATGGGGGAGAGGGAGGGAGGCAAACCATGAGAGACTCTTGAATGCTGAGAACAAACTGAGGGCTGATGGGGGTGGGGGTGAAGGGAAGGGGGTGATGGGCATGGAGGAGGGCATTTGTGGGGATGAGCACTGGGTGTTATATGGAAACCAACTTGACAAACTATTAAAAAAAATAAAAAGAAAATTAACATAAATTAAAATTTAACTCAATAAAAAAATAAGACATCAAATATGCATTGTGCTGCATTTTGGGGATGAAAGCATTCATTTGTTATGTAAATGAAAATAAATTATAACCTATTTAAAATAAGATAACTATAATGAATTATGAACATGAGTTTTATAATACATTACAAAAGTGATCACGAAGTTATTTCAAATAATAGAGAAGGCCAAAGTCTTCCATTTCCTGCAGGCTTTACTCCCACAGGTGGGGACTGTTAACAGTTTCCATGCACACTTCTTGTGTGCCTTTCTAGAAAGTTTTCAGTGTACATACAAGTCTGTGTCTGTTTTCTGCTTATCTTGTTCCTCCCCACGGAAATTGGGATTGTGTCACAAAAAGTGCTTGGCAATATACTCTTTACACTAGAGAGCAGTTACAGAATAGGCCCTTGACTTATTTCTAAGTTATTTCCTATTCCCCTTACTCTTCTTACTGGCCATGTAGCAGTATGCTTTCTGAATGTACCAGGATTTATTTAGCCGAGGGCTAGGCCATGGACAGAAAACCCTGGAGCTGAGTTAAGAGTGGAGAAGTGGTGTCTTGAGCAGTGTTGGGCCAGAGGCCTCGGGTGTGCTGGCTGTGTCCCCTTTCTGAAAAGTCCTTTTCTGGGGCAAAAGGATCTGGGGATCAACCACCACTCTCCTCCAAGGCCCTCTGTCTGGGCGCTTTCCCAAGGTGGCCCCTTCTGTCCGGCGGGGGGGCTTGTGAGGTTTCCAGCAGGAATAGAGATGAAACAAGTAGGAGGCAGACGGACTTGGTAGCTCATCCTTTCTGACCAAAGGCTCGAGCCCCCCATTTTTATTACGATCGCCCCACTTTGTTATCTATTTCACATTGGAGTTTGTTACATAGATTGGCCTGTGTGATTTTTTTTTTGTTGTTGTTTCCTTGAAAGTGTGAAAGGGAGCTGCTGGCAAGCTGGCTGTGATCTGTAGGAGAGGAAGGCTGGCAATGCCAGCCGGGGGTGTGTGTGTGGGGGCGTCATCTGCAGGCTCTGCCCAGACCGCTGCGGTGTGGAGTGGCCGTGCCGGCGGGGAGTCTCGGCTGCAGGCACGGCAGGTACTCCCAGGCAGCCTCTCCATTTTTAATGTAATCTGGGGGAGCTGGCTTCTAGTTCAGGCCCTGCCCTTCCTCGCCCATCCAGATGGTCGAGTCGGCCACAGCTGCTGGGGCTCCGGCTGCCAGCGGAGAGGCGTGGGAGGCCGTGGGCACGGGGCTGGGGACACGGCAGTGTGCCAGCCCGGCCGGAACCCCGCTGGGGAAGATAGAGTGAGTTGTCTCCTGCCCTGCCTCTCCTGTTAGCCCTCGCGTTCCAGAACAGATGGGGCACCTGTCAGTGTGACAGAAGGAGTACGGGCCCTCAAATAGGGACTGGCGCTGGCACAGCTGAACGTTTGTGCCTTAGGCCAGGGAGAGGGGCAGAGTGGGGACAGAGGCGCTGGCATTTGTGGCCTGCCTTCTCTGGGCCACGAGTCAGGCTTTATGCACATGATCTAATTTAAGGGTCACCTCGAGCCCCATGAGCTGAGGTTTATTGTCCCATTTTATGTATTAGTTTTTTAAAAAATGTTGATTTATTTTGAGAGGGAGAGAGAGAACATGAGCATGAGAGGGAGAGAGAGAACATGAGCAGGGGAGCAGCAGAGAGAGAGGGGGAGAGAGAATCCTAAGCAGGCTCCACGCTGTCAGCACAGAGCCCAGTGTGGTGCTCGATCCCACGAACCATGAGATCACAAGCTGAGTTGAAATCAAGAGTCAGACTCTCGACTGAGTCACCCAGGCACGCCCCTACTGTCCCATTTTATAGTGGAGACAGATAGACTCCCCAGCTAGGAAGTGAAAGAACAGGAGCTTGAGTCTAGGCCAAGTATACTGTTAGCCCCCGGGGCCCCACCCTTGCTGAAAATGTTTGAACTTAGGAAGAACAGCTTGCTAAATTTGCCTAGACACCCAAGCTTTAAAATGAGATTGGGGGTTTTGTTGTTTTGGATGGATGATCAGTCCCTGACTGGGAAGAGGGCATCCTTGTCTACTGATGGGACCTGGGTGCTTGGGAGAGCCCAGAATGGAGCAGAGGAGCATCGTGTCTAACTCCCTTCAGATGCCCAAATGCTGCCCTTCCTGTCTGGAGTATAGCGCGCTCTCGTTTCAGCGCATCCCCATCCCTCCAGGGTCCTTCCTCGTTAATGTGCTTGGCCGCTGCCCCACTTCCACCCCCAAACTGCCATCCTCTGGAGGTCCGCGCCTCTGCGGATTCGGGGTGTCCACGGACGTCTCGGCTTCCTCTTTGCCACTGCCGGTGAAGGATCCGGTGACAGGTGGAAGGGTTTTCTTTCTTGTACAAATTCTTTAGCCTCTGGCTTCGGGCTCCGCACGCAGTGCCTGTGGCATCTGGCTTATCGTCCCTCAGCCAGCAAGGCCAGCCCTGGAAGTGGCTGCGAGCCTGGCGGCTTAGCCAGAGCTGAGTAGATGGGCTCCTCTTCTATGTCCCGGGTGGTCCTCAGCCACTCAGCAGCACCTCTCAGTGCGTCCTCCCAGGCCCGACTGTTGGTCGGAGGCTTAAGGGACCCACATGGACACATCTCCAGTACATGCTCACCTCTGCTACTTGCCCACAGGCCCAGAGGCTGGGGAGAGAAGACAAGGACGGCAGCCAGTCCAGCCAGGATGAGCCACAGAGCAAGCAGTGCAAAGGCCCGGACAGGTACCGCACGTGGGGGGCCGCCCTCGGTGGCCTCGGGGTGGTGTGCACCGGGGCGGGATTCCGGGCTGTGGGGCGCACGGCCCAGTGTGCTCCCTCCTGCAGGTGGATGGGGAGCGGACCGAGGCCTCGCAGAGTCTGTGTGTGCACGCGTGCGTGCGTGTGTGAGCACACCCTCTGACCGTGCACTGAGATAGGAGTGCGGGCGCATCTGTTGGGACTTTGTGCACCGCTTTGGCCCAGGCTCTGTCCCTTCACTAGAGTGGGCTAAGCTGTGTGTGTGCCCGGTCATGGGCCAGGGCTACAGGAACTTGTTAGAGGGTCAGCTGCTGCTTGGAGCTCCTTTGAAGAGAGAGAGAGAGTGACAGACAGACTGGGAGGGAGAGACCAGGGCTTCCCGCCGAGGCCAGGGCCTGAAATGAGAGAAGGAAGGGCTGCCGCCCTGGAAGAGGACGCAGGCCGACCTCCTGCTGCTTGCACCCTGAAGAGCAGTCTGCGTTCCTGCTGGCTCAGAGCTGCAGCTTTGTGCGTTCTCTGCAGTCTGACCATTCCAGCCTGGCCCCTCTCTTTCTCCCTGTTTTCCGCTCGGCTTGTCCGTCGCTGCCTGGCCTCAGTGATGGTGAACGCTGGGAGCAGACACACCCGCGAGGGGGCCCAGCTCGCGCCCCTGGGCCAAGCAGATGCGGTGCTGGCTCCCGGGAGGGGTGAGTCTAGCCCAGGCGAAGGGAGAGCTCAGTGGGGGGTTTCCCCTTCTTGCTTCTCTGGCTGTCTTGGCCTCTGTGGCTCCCCGTGGATGTGGGGCCGCGGCCGGGGCCCCGCCTGGGAGGGGGAGTGCACCCAGGTGCGCATACCGCACCGGCCAGCCCTCTCCCTGCTCCCCAAACGGCGGGGCCTGACTCTGCTGCTCTGGCTGGTCTGACCAGGTTGTCTCCTCCTCTTGTGCCTGGGAGGTCGCTCCAGAGTCCCCTCTGCAGCCAGGCCACTGAAGAAGGGCCTCCGGAGGCCTCTGAGGGGCGGCCCGAGCAGAAGTGGGCCGAGGAGCCCGGGGAGGACTCTGCCGGCAGCCCCATCCCAGTCGGGTCCCTGAGGAGGTAAGGGGCCCTGGAAGCCTTCCAGGCGTGCAGTTGTGTGGGGAGGGGTGGGGGTGGGGGCGAGAGGGACTGGCAGGGGTGCCTGGAGAGGTGAGAAGCCGGGAGGGTTTGCAGCCTAAGCAGCAACGTCATGTTTCCACTTAGGGTCCCATGTGAGCTGGAAAATGAGGAAATGTGCTCCTTCCTAGTCCTCAGTCTACAGCTAAAATTGGTGTGTCCTCCAGTTAGGGGCGCCTGGGAACTCTTGAACCGGGAAGCGTCTCTTAGACTGTCCCCCACAGGGGCTGCGCCGTGCCGGTGCCGGTCCCCACCTGCCAGTGCTCCCCACCCCTCCCAGCAGTCACCCCGCTTCTGGTCCTTCAGCAAACCCAAGCAGAGCCCCGTTGTGTGCTGGGCCCTGGGGTGGGGGGGCAGGTGCAGAGTCCTGGGCTTCCCTGAGGCCAGCTGAGAGGGCCTTCGTGCCCCAGCCCGGCCCAGAGCCTGGTGCCCCTTTGCCGGACCTTCTGTTCCCCTGCCGAGAGGAAGATGCTGGTGTCAGAGCACGTCCAGCTGGGATGAGTCACTGGGGGAAGCCAAGCAGCAGCGAGGCTCAGTCAGCAGCCCCCGCCGCCTCCCCCGCTGCGTGCCCAGCGGCTCCTTGGGCACGTAACCCTGGTGGTCCACGTGGGCCTGCCTCTGGTCCTCAGTGTCAACAGCGTGGGAAGGGGCGGGTGGGGGACAGTGAGGCCCGGATCAGGAACCTCAGCTGGGGCCACTTCCCCATCCTCATCCCGGCCCTCTGACCTCGGATGGGCGCGCTGGGGGCCTCCCGCCTTCCTGCTGCTTTTAACACAGTTGCTTCCTCAATGCTCTCGAGGGAGGAGACCCCAAGCCTGCCTGCCACCCCCGAGACGGGCAGGGAACAGCGCTCTGGGGCCGAGGAGCCCGAGGAGGCGGCGGTGGCGGCCAGCCCTGCCGTGCCGGCCTCCCCAGAGGTGTAAGGGCCGCTGTTCGTGTCCTGTCCTCCCCTGTGTGTGTGCGTGATGGGAGTGCCCACCACTGTCGGGTGGTCGGGAGGGGATGCTGTGGCCCCTGCCCAGGGGGACCAGGCGAGGGGAGATTGCATGTACCCCTCATTTGTTGTGTGGCCGCATTCACTGATCCGAGTGTGGGGTTGGCCAGGTCCCCGGGGCTCCTGGTCAGGGCCTGAGGTGTGGAGGCAGAGGGGCGGGGCCACCACTTGGGTTAGCAGGAACCCGGTAATGCTGTTTTCCCACTCTGCCTTGCACTATTTTTGCTTTCTGAGAAACATTTTATTGAGGTATTTATATATTTGAAAGTACGTAAATCTGAACTGTCCAAGTCAATACACATTTACACAGATCAGATGTAGAACATTCTCGTCCCTTCAGGAAGTTTCCTCATGCCCCTTTCCTCTCAGTCCACCACCCCAGGTCATTGTTCTTCTGGCTTCCGTCCTGCAGATTCGTTTTTCCCATTCTCCAGCCTGCCGTAAATGGAGTTAGGTGGTACTGGTATATGTGCTTTGGGCCTGGGTTCGAAGCTCACCTCTGTTGTTACACTAGCACTTCTAAGACTTGGAGATCAGTGAGCTTTCCTCCTCCCGTTTCCTCTTCCCCTCCCACCCCTTTTACAGATGAGACTGAGGCTCACAGTGAAGGGATCTGCCCAGCGTCACGGGGCTGGTCGGTGGCATAACTAGGACAAGGCTCTGGTCCCGGCAGCCGTAGACTTCCGACTCGGTGTGCCGCCGCTGCTCCTTTCCCTGCATGGCGGAGAGGGGCCGGGGCTATACCGGTTCTCCCGTCTGTGAACTGAGCGGTACAAAGGGTCATGAGTCCTTGGGATCCGGGCTGTTGTGTAGAGACCGTTTCACGTACTGGTTGCTCAGGCAGCGTCACCGAGAGCTGGCAGCGCACGTGAGCTGATGGCTCTTGTCCTCGCCACAGCACCGCAGGGTGACGCAGGGAAGGGGCAGCCCCATTTTTCAGGTGGTGACAGCTCTGACCCTGAGGAATCACCTGGCTTTCCCAAGTATCCTTGGGGGCTGAGGACAGGAGGCAAGTGTGGTTCAGAGACAGGACCCTCTGGGCGGAGGTCAGAGGGCGTCTTCCTGGTGCCTCCGGGAGGGAAGCTGGGCAGCCAGGCTCCCCCCGGCTGTCTTGGCTAGTGAGTCCCCTTTCTTTGTGTTTCTCCTCCCAAACCAGCGAGGCCACCCCGGCTGCGCCTCAGAGACACGTTCCTTGACCGCCAGTTTACACAGCACCCTTAGGAAATGTCTTCCCTTCCTTTGCTGAGTCTTTTCGGGCCCTGTAGCTTCCTTGTCGTTCGTCTTCACAGCTGCGTTTCTGTGTTTCTGTGGGGAGAGGCCCCGTGTCTGTCTCGTTTGTTTGTACCTACGGGGTTCTGACGTACGGAGGTGACTGAGTGATGACAGGCCAGCGCCGTTAAGGAAAGATTCATTACTTACATTTCCAGAGAGAAGAGGGCGCACCATGCCACGCCAGGCCACGTGGGGAATGACCAGGGTGTGTCAGGTGGCAGAAGAGGCGAGAAGGGAGAGAACGGCCTGGAGCCTTTGTCGGTGTTTCCGCAGGAAGGAATGGGCGAGGCAGGGTAAGTACCTTGAGTAGGATTGGACAGTTTGAAAGATTTGGGTGGGCTCCGGCTGTGGGGGTGGCCCCCCAGTGGCCTGGTGTGAGTTATGTAAGCAGATGCTTGCGGTCTGGCCTCTAAGGGGGATTGGTTGGTTTGCATATGAAAGACGGTCTTTCGTGTGTGTGTGTGTGTGTGTGTGTGTGTGTGTGTGTGTGTATTTCATGCGTATATATTATTTCATATATATGAAAGACGTGTTCTTTCGTATAGAGTTGGCTAGCCCTGGGAGGGCCAGTCTCTCTGCCAGCAAACTTTTAAAGGTGTCAAAACATCATCATCATCAAATTACACAAAATAAAATTTAAAAAACCCATGATTCATAGAGTCCGTCACCTTTCAAGATGTTGTCAAGCCGGCTCAGAAGGAGTTAGGGGCGGAGGGTGGGCCAGCAAGCGCTGTGTGGCCAGAAGGCCTGGTCTGGGGCACGGGGGTTGCCTCCCCTTGGCAAGCCCAGCCTCTTTCCTGAGGCTCTTGTAGAAAGGGGGGTGAATGAACGAAAGCCCGTGGCCGAGCGTGAGAGGGGACAGGATCTCTGTGCGGTCGTAGCAGATGCGTGGCTTTCCGAACGTTCCGGGTGCCACAGCCGCCCTCCTCCCCACTGCCTGCCCTCCTTGCTCCTTCCCTTCCTTGTCTTGCACTGACTTGGTGGCCAGCCTGACGTGATCGTGCCCACACAGAGCCTCCCTCTTGGCTACCAACTGTCGGAAACTGGGTCTCACTGACGCTGACACCCAAGGAGCGGCCTAGAAACCAGACCTGCCTCTTCCCCTGGAGGCTCCATCCTTCCAGTCGTCTCCTCAGTCATTCAGGGCACCGTCGACTGCCTCGGCCCTATGCTGGGCGTTTTGGATCCTAGAGCTTTAAAACGGGGACACAGAGACAGAGAAGAAGCCTGCATGCCAGGTGTGCAGGCGCAGCCGCCGGCATGTGGCCTGGGCACGCGCCTCCACGCCGTCTGAGGCCCCATCTTTCCACAGCACCTGTCCCCAGGGCTCCATATAGCCACGCAGCCCACAGGGGAGAGAGACATTACAAAGGTACTATCTCAGGGAGAAAAGATGTTTCCAGCCAAGTCTGGAAATGAGTTGGAGGGTTGATGAGGCGGAGAGCTGGCGGGGGGAGGCTCTTCCTGAGAGCAGCGCTCTCAGAGGAGGTGGCGGCCACATCTCGCATCCGTATCATTGGGGCTGTGTTAGGGGGGTCTGGAGGAGAGCCGGGAACTAGAAGGGGGGGCCAAGGTGGGGTTCAGAGCGGAAGACACTCGAAGGCACAGCTCAAGGCCATTTCCAATCTGAATTACGATTTTAGGAGAGGGGGAAGGATAGAGCTTTTTGGTATTTCAGAGATGTCAGTAGCCTTTTATGTCTTCCTTCCCTCTCTGGTCTCGAGGGGCTGAAATGGAATTCCGAAGCCCTTGTTCCCTTCTGCTGTTCTAATCCAACCCCACCTGCTGCCTCCCATCTGCTGCAGTGAGGGGGCAGGGGGTGCTGCACCCCCCGCAGGGGCTGCCTCCCCACTGCAGCTCCTGCCTCAGTGCTTCCTGATGTGGACCGTGCCTACACACTGCTGCGGCCGTCAGGGCAGCAGTGCTTGTGAGGCGAGACCAGGAAGGGTGAGGCATTTAGGAAAGCTGCTCTCTGGGACGTGAAATACTTTTATTCTGTTGATGCTTTCATGGCCTTGAATGTTCTTGCGTGTCTGTCTGGGCATTTCCTTCAAAAACCAGAATACAAGCAACATAACCACCTTGTTACCTTATAGACATCTGTTTAACCTTTATTCCTCATCTCACCACCCACCTTGTGCATCCGCGTCAGCTCTGAATTTCTTTTGCCCATTTCCAAACCTTGGGTTAACTGCAGGCAGAGGTAAACGTGGCATCATCGAGGAGATGTGGAGCGTGGCGCTCCCGGTGCACTCTGGCCACACTCTTCGGCTTCGGGAGCAGCCCCCTAGGTGGCGCGGCACGGGATTTCCTGGTCCTGGACGCGCGTGGACTGCCGTGGGTCCCAGGGCCAGGAGGCAGGCTGTGGCCCCTCCTGCTGGCTCGTGAGCGTTGGCCTGCGTGCAGTTTGGGAGGCAGCCGGCAGCCTCTGGGCGCGTCCCACAGTGCTGGCGTGAGCCTCAAGTAGCAGGCAGAGCCCTCGGGGGGAGACAGCCGCAGGGCTGTGAACCATCCTGGGGGAGAGCCCATCAGGGACAGAGCTTTGGTCTTTCCCTCTCGCTGCCAGCCCTTGAGCCACTTCTTGAGGTTTTCACTTCGGGCTACAACCTACCGGGTCCACCGAGAGCCTGGTACGGGCCACCCCCCTGCCTGGACAGCCACAGCGAGGCTTGCCCTGTGAACTAACGCTGCCCGGGTCCTTGAGGGGCAGCCTTCCTGCCGGCCCTTGCGTGACCTGACTTGCCTGTGTGATTGCTGCCCCCCCCTCCCCCCATTAGGATTGCGTGTGTGTTCCGTGTCTGTATAAAAGGTGGGGTGCTAAGGCTAGCCAGGTGTTGTGCCTCCCCCTTGGTAGGCGATCCACAGAGCCCGCGGCTCCCCCAGAGCAGGCTTCGCCCAGGGCCCTGGAGGAGGCCGTGGCCCGGGAACTGGAGCAGGACCGGAGGCGGCTCCTGGAATCGAAGCGAGAGAAGATCCAGCAGCTCCGGGAGAAGCTGTGGCAGGAGGAGGAGGAGGAAGAGGAGGAGGAGGAGGCGGCCCTCCAGCTTCACCAGCAGAAAGAGAAGTCTCTCAGGTCCTGCCCCTGCCCTGATGCAAGCTGCCCGGGTCTCGCGGTGACGTGGGGAGGAAAGGACACCCTCCTCCCTCCCGAGACCCGTAGCACCGCCGACACTCCTCCTCGGTGGCCTGTGTGGAGGAATGGGCTCCCTGGTTCTTCTCTTTGGGAGGGAGGTGGGAGGCGTGATAATAGTGGGAGAAGCTGACGGGCTTTTGAGAGATTACACGGGTCCATGTGCCTTGTATCTGCTAAGTGGTTTCATCCCGAGAGTGGATCTTGTGAGGTGCTGCCGTCGGCCCGGCCCCGTGTTATAGGATCTGCGAGGGAGATGAAGAAACTGAGGCACAGAAGGATTGTTGGACTTGTCCAAGGTATTGGAGTTAATAAGCAGTGAGCCGGGGGTGCCTGGGCGGCTCAGTCGGTTCAGCGTCCGACTCTCGATTTCTGCTCAGGTCACGATCCCAGCGTCGTGGGATTGAGCCCCACGTGGGGCTCCGTGCCGATCATGGAGCCTGCTTAAGATTCTTTCTCTCCCTCTGCCCCTCCCCCTCCCTCACGCTGTCTCCCTCTCTCTCAAATAAGTACGTAAATAAAAAATGCAGCAGAACCGAAGGACCCAGGCAGTTTGTCCCTGGGCCCTGTTTTCTTAACCAGTCCATCGCCCTGTCTCTCGGTCATCAGGGCCCTGTTAGGACCCAGCGAGGCTGGAAGCGACCACACGGTACGGGTGTGAGGTGCTTTTTACCAGGACCTGGAAGTTTCCGTTTGGGTTCCTGCTCTTTGTATCACTGGCTGGGAGGCCCTTAACAAGTAAGACACTTAGGGCCGGGCCGGATTGTGCAGATGAGATTGTGTGTACCCGCGTGTAAACAAGCTGGAGGCTGTTTTCATCAGGAAAGGCCGTCCAGGGCTGGCACGGCGGCTTCAGCGTCACCAGGTGCCTGCTGGTCCTTTAGTCTCTCAGCCACCTGAGAGCTGGTTACTCTCAGGGTCCAGTGCGGCTGCTGCATCCCCCCATGGTGTCTGTGCTGCCGGCAGGGAGAGTAGGGCTAGAATACGAAACGGGTAACCTCCAGCTCATTCCGTCCCTTTTAAGGCGCTTTCTTGGAAGCTTCACCCAATAACCTCTGCTTATTCTTTTGAGGCGTTTTCCTGGAAATTGCACTCAATAATTTCTACTCCTATCTCATAGGTTACTTCTGGCTGCAAAGGAAACTGGGAAATGTAGTCTTTTGGGCCTCTTTACCTGACGGAATGAAATCAGGGCCCCTTTAGGAAGGGAGCTTGGGAGAATGGCCACTGACAAGATGATCAGCAATCTACCATAGGCCCACGAGGGGACAGGTGCCATAGACAGGTGTTAACATAGTCTTCACTCACTCGGCAGTGTAGCTAAAGGGTGAATCTCTTCCTCTCGGACAGAACATCCCAAAGTGGCAGACTTATTTTTAGAGCAGACATAACAAAGAGAGTATAAAATGTGTATGCTCAGAGAAACTAATAGAAAACCCAGCACCCAGCTACCCAGAGGGCTGGGGGCAACCTCTCTCATTAGCCCAGCACAGGATCTGCTGGCCCAGGGTCTGTCCATCCTTCTGTCACCCCTCCTGAGTCCCCTCCTGGGCGGCATCCTCCTCTTCCAGCCAAATGGAAATTGGGGCAAGGGCCTGTCCAAACAGGATAAGATTTAGCTCATCTTGACAGGCAGGGCCTAGGACAGAATCCTGGCTGTGTTTCCCTGCCGACAGACTAGGCTTCTCCTCTCTTCCTGGCCACCCTGGGCCTGGCCGCCTGTGCTTTCCATCCCTCGCCAAACCCCCAGCTCCAGAGGGGCATCCTCTTAGGTTGTGGTGAAGACTCCACATGCCAAAAGTACCTGACTCAGGGCCTGAAACAGTAGTTGCTCAGTAAATGGCAGCTCCTGATCTTGAAATCTGTGGTCTCCGTGGCCGCCACGAAGCGATTTTTCTGTAGGCAGTGCCTTGTCAGACTCGCTACGAAATAGTTCATTGTGAGAACCCTGTTTCTGCTTACACGTGAGCCTTTCTGAGGGGTGGGGCTGCCTCTGCTGGGAAACTTCCACTTGGTAGAAGTTTCTGGAAGCCAGAGCCGACCTTGTAGCAAATAACTTCTTGAATGAGAAAGCAGGCAGGAAGACAGGCAGGCTGACCCTTAGTTTCTTTAGTCATAAAATGAAGAGATTGAATTTAGTTGTGAGATAAAGAGACAGTTGTAAAATGAAGGCCTTAACCTGTCCAGACCCTCCCCGCTCTGACATTCTGTGGTGCTACGTGTGAAATGGAGCCATGGGACAAAGAGAAAGGGTTTCTGGGGGGGATCTAGAAGGGAGGATTTTATTTAACTCGAATTTTCTATCAGGATGGAAGAGGGCAGTGATGTAGGTAACTTCAAATAGAAGACGACCCTAAGTCCTTTTTGGCTTTGGAATTCACTAGGAAGCTTTTCTAAGAAATTGTCTCCTGAACCGTGTTTCTCTTAGGCTCGAATTCCCTGAGTGGCCTGCACACAGCCCCCGGTCATGTGGGGGCTGCGTGGGCAGGGGGATGTCAGCCCAGAATGAAACGCTTATTGTCGTTTGTCTGTAAAAGATTGGTGCCTGCTTATAAGTTTGGGGCTGGGTGAGCTGTTCCAGTTTGGCAGACACGTACGGAGCACCTACTTCACGTCAGCTACTGCTGCTCAGTGCCTCGGATACTGCCGAGTGTACGGCCCGATTCTGCCTCTGGCGAAGCTCCCAACCTTGTCTGGAAAACAGACCTACGAAAGATGGATTATGATGCATGGTATAGAGCGGTGAGGGATAAGGAAGGGCTTCCTCTACAGGGCGATGGGAACACAAGGGCTGATCAGTGAACTTGGAAGGAGTTGGAAACTTCTCGGAGAGGAGGGGCCTGGGTGTCGGTGGCAAATATGGGTTTGTCAGGTAGAAGAGGGGGTTCTGGGGAGAGGTGGCGGCCTGAACTCCCGGAGGCAGGGAGGAGTGTGGTGGGGTTGGGAGGCGGTGGCTGCTCTCCCGTGGCTGCAGCAGTGGGTCAGGGCAGTGAGGGGACCTGGCACCGGAGCCAGGCTGGCCTCAGACTGTGTCTGTCCTGGAGCGGATGCTGCACCGACGTGCGCTTCTAGGCAAGGGGGGGACTCTGGCAGAAGTGCTCTTCTGGGATCAAGCAGCCTGTCATCTGCTTCCTGCGGCAAAGAGCGGGTAGAGTTCACAACCCTCTCTTTATCTAGGATGTATTACAGGGAGGCAGCAGGACCCGGATTTAGGAAACTTCGCAGACAAGCCGCGGCCTTGTAGAGGCTGGGAGTCAGGGCTTAGGGCTAGAAGAGCGGTTCCTCCAACAGGCTTGCCTTTCTTTCTCTCCCCAGTTCCCTGAAGGAGCCGCTGCGCCAAGCCACCGAGGAAGAGGAGACTCGGATGAGAGAGGAGGAAAGCCGGCTCCGGGCCCAGGCGCGGCCCAGCGCAGAGGCCGACGAGGGCCAGGGCAGGTAAGGGCACACCGCCAGCCTCCCGCCCCATGCGGTGCCCCCCGGGTGCCCAGGCCTGGCCCATGCCCTCTGTCTGCGCAGGGCCGAGCAGGAGGCTTCCCTGCAGAGGCTGAGAGAAGAGTTCGAGTCTCTCCAGAAGGCCGAGAGGGCCAGCTTGGAAGAGAGGAACAGACGGGTGCTGGAGCAGCTCAGGGAGGACATGGAGGCCTCGCAGAAGAGACAGCAGGCGGCCCTGAGTGCCAAGCAGGACAGGGCTCTGCAGCAGCTGAGGGAACAGCTGGAAGGGGAGAGGAAAGAAGTGAGCCCTTGGGCTGCCTGGGGAGAGGCCGAGTGCCGGGCTGGGCATGGGGGGTGGGGGGCCAGGCACAGAGGAGGTGTTCAGACAGCAGGCGGGCTGTCTGGGGCCACCACCCTGTGTGGGCCTGGCTCTGCACGGCACAGGGGAGGGAACGGCGGGCGTCCAGGGCTCCATCCGGGGTCCGCAGTACCTAGGCATGGTCAGTGACCGTGAAGAAGCTTGAGGGAAATGGCCCGTGGATTTGGGACAATTTCATGACTGAAAGAACCCAGACCAGACCAGGGGTTCTGAGACCAAGGTGCCCTGTCCCTGTCCCCGAGGGGCAGCTGTGATGAACTTTCATCTCTCCTCAGAGAGGTTGGCACACGTAGAGGAAGGTCTCCTTCGCCCTGACTCCCGGGCCTCCAGTCCTGTCGGCCTCTAGATGAGAGGCGGAAGTAGGGAACGGTCAGGCCACGTGCACCTTCTTTGGGTGGCCGTGAACATCAGCTCTTAGACAAGGAACCCTCGAGGTTGGGGGCGGTGTCCCTGTACTGTCCTGCGGGTGCTCAGGCACGTCGCGCTGGGCCTCCAGCCCTCGCCGCCTGGGGCAGGGGGATGGACGCGGTGACCCGAGGCTTACTGAAATGCCCCTCCACTCTGGCCTTTGTATTCCTGTTCGTTTGCTCGTTACAGACTTGAGGGGCTGAGTTATTTTGGGGCAAAAAAAGATGTGCCTGTGGTACCCCTTGGCCCTTGGGCTCAACGGGAATCAGGCACGGGCTTCCCAGCTCTTCCTCCCTCCGGGGTCGGTGCCCAGCCAGCCCCGCACTGCCCTGCATCCCTCACAAGCCCCTGGTTGTTCCTCAGGCGGTGGCGGAGCTGGAGCGGCTCTCTTCCTCGCGGGAGGCCGAGCACAGGGAGGTGAGAGGCAGCTGGCCCCGGCCTGCGAGGCGGAGCCTGGCGTCCTGCTCCCTGAGCGTGGGCCTCACGGCCCCTTTGCGGCTGGTGGGCAGAACTCTACCCCGTGCCTGCCATTAGGGCGGCAGTCTCTCTCCCCCGAAGCCCCGCGGGGATGGGCGCTGGGCCCCTGGGGAGTGAGCCCCTGAAGTCACTCTGTAGCACAGAGTGTCACGTCCCCTGTGCTGGGGCCTCCTCAGGTGCTCTCCAGCCTCCAGAAGAAGCTGGAGGAGGCCCAGCTGCAGGAGAGCCTCAGTCGGTCAGAGCACAGGGCTCAGCAGAAGGCTCAGCAGAAGGCTCGCCAAGTGCTCGAGTATGAGCAAGAGGTAATGCCGGTTTGCCCCTTCGACTTTGTGTACACCTGTCCCGGGCTCTCCATCTCGGCCCACTGGGCCTGCTTTGCTCCGGCTGGCTCAGCTGGGGCTCGGACGTCTGGTGCCACTCTGGGTCTCAGTTCCCTTGAGGCTGGGTGCTTCCCCAACCCCGTGCCCCTGTACGTGTGTGGGGAAGGGGCGCTGGGTTATGGCTTGTGCATGTCACGTGTCCTGCATGTGTGGTGTGTGGGTGTGGAGGTCGTGTGTGTGTGTGCACGTGCACTACGCGCTGGCCCACCCTCGGGCTGGTGTTGCATCCCTGCTGCCTGCCCTGCAGCTCAGCAGCCTCCTGCGAGAGAAGCGCCAGGAGGTGGAGAGGGAACATGAGAGGAAGATGGACAAGATGAAGGAGGAGCACCAGCAGGTGGTGGCTGAGGCCAGAGAGCAGTATGAAGCCGAGGTGAATTTCCCTGGTGCACACATGTGGCATGCGCACTCACACACCTCCCCCCCGTCCCTCCCCCGCCGTGTCCTCGGCAGGTACCTGGGGGCCAGGGCACACGTGCGTGTGCACTCACACACACCCACGGTCCTAGGCAGCTGGCGGGGTCCGGGGCACATGTGCGTGCTCGGCCGCTGGCTGGCCAGTGCCCCGCAGAGGTAGTGTCGCAGGCCTGTCCTGCCTGTTCGCCCCACATCGGGCCGGCTGCGTCCCCTCCTGGATGCACTGTTCTCAGCACTGTTCTCAGCCCCTTGCCGTGTGCTGACTCATTTAGTGCCCCCAGCGGCCCTGAGGAGGTGGGGACTATCGTCACCTCCAGTTTAGAACTGAGCGGACAGACTCAGGAGCATAGTAAGCATCTTTCCCAAGTGCTCTGGGCCAGTAAGTGGAGGAGCTAAGATTCAAGCCCCAGCTGTCTGACTGCAAAGCCTGCAACTTTCACCACCCGGACGCCAGGCCATCAGGGTTAATGGAAACCCCAAGATGCCAGGAAATAGACTAGCAAGAGCCAAACGTACTTAGGTCTTATCTGCCCATCTCAGCCTTCGCCCTCAGGTGAGAGAGTGGACCCAGCCGGGTTCGGCTCGCTCACCCCAGGGAGCCACAGGGCCTCCGCCCGGGATTCCTAGGCCAGCGATGGGAACTCATACCCCAGCCTCTCTGGGCAGTCTTCCCCGCACAGGAATGGCGGCCTGTGAGAAAACGTAGTAGCGTCCCTCCCCGCACCGATTCTGACCTTGCTCGGGCTCATGGCATCTGCTTCAGCGGCAGAGAGGCTTTCTGGGGGATGGGGCCGTGCTCTCCTTCAAGAGCTGGCCCCAGGGCGCTGATGGGGTCCCTGACCTTGCTGACCGGAGGCTGCAGGAGTGGGGGGCTGCTGCGATGTCCCTGCCGGCAGCCTCATCTTCTGGGCAGGAGAGGAAGCAGCGAGCTGAACTCCTGGGACACCTGACGGGTGAGCTGGAGCGCCTTCGAAGATCGCACGAACGCGAACTAGAGGCCGTGAGGCAGACACAGGACCGGCAGCTGGAGGACTTGCGGCGGCGGCACCGGGAGCAGGTGGGGGCTCCGGGCGGCCACTGGGGACCGGGGAGGCCGAGCCCACTCTGTCTGTGGCAGCAGCCCGTCCAAGCCCTGACAGCCTCTGGAGGGGGGGGGGGGTCCCTCACTGGCGGTCCCCAAGCCAGGATATGTTTGCACCTTCATTCTCCGGGCCAGGGCACCTCCCCAGGGCTAGAGGAGGCCAGCCTCCGGGGGCCTGGGGCTTGACGCCTTTGCCTCTCCTTGCCCCCAGTGGGAAGAGACAAGGTGTGGTGCTTTCCTGGGGGCCTGCAAGGGCACATGGGGGGAGGCCGGACCCCAGCTTGGAGGGCTTGCTTGGAATCTGGGTCTGGAACTCTCCTGCACCCGCAGCTAATGCCTTGCGCTCTTTCCACACTTCCATCTTTCACTCTATTTTTGTGCAGGAAAGGAAACTCCAAGATTTAGAGGTGGAACTCGAAACCAGAACCAAAGAGGTCAAGGCCAGATTGGCTCAGCTGGATGTCCAGGTGAGAGAGCGGGAGTTGAGGACAGGATCTCCAGGTGCCCTTGACCTTGTAGCTCCCGGAGAAGAGCATGGTCCTCCTGCCCCTTAGACCTGGGGCCTGGAGATGGCCAAAGGGCCCCATGTCCTTCCCTCCCCTGCAGGAGGAGGCTGCCCGAGCAGAGAAGCAGCAGTTCCTTGAGATGCAGAGGCAGGTTGTGCTGGAGAGCGAGGTGTGTCTGCCTCTCTTGTCCTCCCTCATCTCTCCCCCGTTCCCTTCCCTTCCCTCTCACCCCACAACATTGCTCCTTGTGCTCACCTGATCTGTCTGGGTCATTAGGGGCCCGAACGACGTCGGCAGCATCCCACAGATAGCCCGGGGTCTGGGAGACTGTGGAGGGCGGACAGAGCCTGCACGCCTCCGGATGGTGGCCACGGCGACCACCCTCTGCCCTGCTCTCCTCGGGCTTCCCTGTCCTGCTTTGCGCCACGTGTCTCCAGGTGCTTCTCGCTTTTCTTCTGTCCCCAGGAAGCCACAGCCAACCGTCCTCACCTGGAGGAGGCCAAGGAGGAGCACACCCATCTTTTGGAGTCAAACCGACAGCTCCGAAGGATTCTCGATGAGCTCTGGGCCCGCAAGTTGGAGCTGGAGTCCCATGTGGATGTGCTGCAGGCGCAGAGTCAGAGGCTGCAGAAACACATCAGGTGGGGTGAGCCCCGCCCTCGGCTGCTCCTGGGCCGAGCTGCTCATGGCCCAGTTAACAGGCAGGGGTGGAGCTGGCAGAGGGGCTTTGGCTGCATTTTGTAGGCTGTGAACAGCATGTGGGGGGTGGTGCCGTCCCTGGTTCTACCGGTCATGCCCCAGCCCTGCCTCAGGGACTTGGAGGGAAGCGAAGTGATGGAGATGGACCTGCCGTCTCCCCGGGACCGGGGCTTGAGGCCCAGCCCCTCTCCCACCCCCAATCCCCTTTCCCATCACAGCGACCTGGAGGCTGAAGCTCAGAGGAAGCAGGACGTGTTGAAAGAGCTGGCAGCCAAGGAGAGCAGTGCCTCCCCGCGTTTTGAGGCAGATCTCCGCATCGAGGACCTGAGGAAATCCCTTGGGACCGTGAGCTTCTGTGCCTGGGGAGGGACAGGGTAGCTGGGCTGGGGCTCGAGGAGGGGGCCTGGCTCTGCTCTCTATGCAGCCTTAGGGCCTTGTTATTCCTAGTCCCCCATCTCCACCGGGCGAATGATAACTGCATGAGCAGTACCCAGCCGCTGGCACAGCCCTCTCTGTGTTTAGGCCCTTGGGAGAGGCTTCAGGGTCCCGTGAGCTGGCAGTGTGTCTAATACTCAGTGTGTCTTGTCTTCCATGTGTCCTTAGAACCTGACCAAAGACGTTTCCTCTCCTTTCCCCCAGAACGAGGAGGAGACCGACTTGTCCTTGGACAGGTGAGTTCTGATAGCCTTATCCAGTTTGCATCCAGGATTTCCCGAAGGGGTGAGTGCCTGTATCACAGATCTGGGGTGACATGAAATGAGCCGGCTGTGGTCACTGGTGGGGCTTGGGTCCAGGGCCGTGGACCTGAGGACCCGAGGGAATCCCTTTGGCCAGCCAAGGTGGTGCCCCTGTGGCCACTGACACAGCATGCTGGGCTCTGCTGAGGACAGGGCTAATGGGAGCATCCGGCCACCTGCCTGGAGGCCCCCTCCCCTGCCATGCCTCTCAGAGACCAGGTGAGAGGACTGAGCAGCGTGCTGCACACTGTAGGTGCTCGGGGGTGGGATCCACACCCCGCCAAGCCCGGCCTAGTCTGTGCTCGGGATGGACATCTACCAGGGAAGTGGCCTAGTGACCCAGAGCAGGGGGTCCTTGGGGCGGTCACTTCCCTTGCCAACCCCCCCACTGTGGCCTCCCGCAGCGCCCGACACTACCTCTCCGCCGAGGGGCAAGCCCTCCGCAGCGCCAAGGAGTTCCTGATGCGGCAGACCCGCTCCATGCGGAGGCGGCAGACGGCTCTGAAGGCCGCCCGGGAGCACTGGCGCCAGGAGCTGGCCGGAGCGCAGGAGGCCGCCCAAGAGTCGCCGGGCACCGAGGCCCTGGAGGACGTGCGCAAGGACTTGGAGGAGGTCAGCGGGGAGGGGGCCCGCCAGTGCTGTGGGAGGTGGGGCCACATCCACCTGTGGTCATTCTGGGGACTCCACGACAGCGGCCACGTAGGCCCTGGGGTCACCGGCTGAGTCTTCCAGGGACGCAGGGCAGGTGATGCAGGGTGTCTGTCTCCGTGAGGATGAAAGCACCTTACGTGTGTGTCAACACGCATGTGCAGAACGCTTTCTCCGGTGGCTGTTAGTGCCTCATGATGACCATAGATGATGTGCAACGCAGTGGTGACTCATTTTCTAGGCGAGAGTACAAGCAAGGTTTTTAAAACTTGATGTGTTCCATCACATTAAAGAGTCGGTTCATCAGTGAACCTTTGGAGCACCCTGAGCGGAAGACCGAATAGCTTCTCTGATAGCCTACCTTGCAGTGGAGAGAGCAGCTTCGTTGTGACCATGTGTTGGGATCCCAGATCTCTGCCATCGGAGGGTCGTGGCAGAAGCTCGCTTAGCATCGTGTGGCTGTTCAGAGCTGGCGGGGGTGGAGGCGTGGGGCCTGTTTCCCGGGCCATCTGTGTACAGCCGCCTGCCCCGTTCCTGCTCTTCTCAGTGCTGATGGGGCGGTTGGAGCACGGCTGTGACCTCTTGAGAATGTGTCAGGTCCCGGCACAGTGCTAAGCATGTGATGTGCTCTGTCTCCTTTCATTCTTACGACCTTATGAGAACTAGTATTTCTCTTAGATGAATTTGCAGGCAGCAACGGGCAGACGTGGGACTGCTGTATTTGCACGCAGCACCACTTCCATCCTCTCCTTTGTCTCTGGCTGCAGGAGACCCGGCACCTGGATGAGATGAAGTCGGCTATGCGCAAGGGCCACGATTTGCTGAAGAGGAAAGAGGAGAAGCTGAGTCAGCTGGAGTCCTCTCTTCGGGAAGAGGTGTGGCCCCGTGGCCACGGCTGCCTCCTTCCGTTCCTGGGATGTGGTTGGGCACTTTGGGCTCAGCTCATATGGTGAAAATGGCAGTGGCTTTGGCTTTGAGTCTGTTAAATAGATCTGTGCCGAGGGGTCCTGAGCAGACCCACGGCCTCTTGCTGTGGGTTCTTGAGAGAGGGACTGGCTCCTCCCCTCCCCCTGCCATGGTTCCTGAGGAAAAGTGTGCCCGGTTTTGGGCATGGATGTACTTAGTGGCCTTGTCAACTTCTCCGTGGATGCCAGAGGTGTGGGTGAGGCAGGAGGGAAGCCTGGGTGAGCAGACCCTGTAAGGGAGAGTTTGCTGGGGAGAAGGGGCTGTGGTCCGGGCCGCCTGTGTTTCAGGCCACTGTGACCTTTTAGCCTCCGCCTCCCCCCACCCTGTGATGCAAGACAGCCTATATGGTGTGCCTTTCCCAGAACCGAGGGCCCCAGAGAGCCCCTAAACCCCAACACGTTGCGAGAGCAACAGGTGGAATGCACCAGGCAGGGGTCAGCCCTAACTGGTGCTTGTATCTCTCAGGCCTCAGATGAGGACATTCTGAGAGGCGCCCCGACCAAGAAGGTGGTGACTTTTGACCTCAGCGACACTGAAGACATGAGCAGTGCAAGTTCTGAATCCTACCCCCTGCCTCACTGTGAGTGGTGGCGTCAGCTGGGGTGGGAGGGGGCGGCAGTCAGGTGCCCCAGGGCCTGCGGCCATCCAGGCCCTGAAGTCGAGTCCCTGCCTTTCAGTCCACCTGACCACAAGTGCCGCCTCCTCCAAGATCTACTACTTGAGCAGCTCCCTGCAGCGGATCAGCAGCCAGCTGAACGGGGTCCTCCGCGTGCTGGGTGCTCTCAACACCCCCCCACCGTTCCTCGCTGCCCCGCCCCACACCCCCCGGAGCACCGCCCGGGCCGAACTCTCAGCCCAGCCACCGCGTCCACCCTCATCCACCCGGTGGGCCTGGGACCCTGGGCTGAGCCCCAGGCTCTCCGCCTCCGTGGCTCAAACAGTGGATGACTTTCTGGTGCAGAAGTGGCACAAGTATTTTCCAAGTAAGCCTGCCTCCCTCCCTCCTCTGCCTGCCCCTTGCCTCCCCAGCTTTGGCACGGGCCATCTGTCATGGCTGGGGGGTCATGAGGATTTACTGGAGTTTGGGCTGATTGGAGCTTTTAAAAATTTATTTTTGAGAGACACACAGAGGTGAGTGGGGGAGGGGTAGAGAGAGGGGAAGACCCAGAATCAGAAGCAGTCTCCAGGCTCTGAGCCCGCTACGAGGCTCGAACCCACGAACTGTGAGATCATGACCTGAGCCGAAGTCAGACTTTTAACTGACTGAGTCACCCAGGCGCCTGGAGCCTTTCTGATGGGATCCAGAGCTCGGCAGAACCTAAGAGGTCCTGCTTGTCATCGCTATGATAGATACCATCTTGTGCGCTGTATGAGGGGCCAGGCAGGAGTCCTTCCAGTAATCCTCTGAGTCAGTATTAGTTTATCCCCACTTTACAGATGAGAAAACTGACTCAGAGGTGAAGGTATATGCTCCAGGGTACCCAGGGAGTAAGTAACACTGGGCCTTGACCCTGTGTTCTTCAAGAATCTGCTCCTCACACCTAGGCCCTAGGCCTCTGCCTGATCTCTTGGCCCTGCTGAAGAGTGAGAAAAGCCATCCAAACAGTTGCTTTGGGGAAAAAGATATCTATGTTTTCCCGTGTCTTCACCCAAATAGAAAAGTAGATTAAGTTTTCGAACTAAATAGGACAATTGCCGTCCGTCATCGGTCTCTCACCAGCAACCACTGAAACTTGCCCTGTTCTTGTGGGTTTGTGGGAGGTGGCCTGCTGGGGCTGGGCTCCCCTGCCTGTTTCTGAACGATTGCCTCCCACGTTTCCAGCCAAAGTCCCATTCCTCAGCACCGGCCCGGCCCCGCTGGAGAACAGACTGGGGTACGTGTCCGCCAGGTAAGCCTCCTGCAGGGGGAGAACTCTGCGCCTGTCGCCCGGGTCTCAGCCTCGCCTGGCAGCATAGCTGCAGGGAGAAATCAGCCCCTGTTGGGACCCTGCTTCTTCCCCAGGCCCCTCCTGACCTTGAGTGGGGCTTTTGTCTTTGCTGTGAGCTTGTTGTGTGCTGCACAGGCTCCTTTCTTCCCTCAGCCCTGCTGAGCAACATCTGGCCTGAGAGGGGCACCCAGTGGGAGAGACAGATGGGCAATTATTTAAACCTGTTGTTAACTTCCCATTCATCTTCTTGCTTGCCAAGTGTATCCTCCCTGCCCCCAACCATAAGCACCCTCATTTCCCCTTTGGCCCACTTGGAGCTGATGCTGGGTGGGCATTTGAGTCGGCAGGTGTCAGGAGCGTCCACGCAGGGGAGGAGCTCACCACCATCTCTTTGGGGACCTGATGCTCATCCTCCCAGCAAAGGAAGCTTTGAGCTGCTAAAGCAACCCCGAGCAGGCCGAGGCTGGTGTGCGGAGGGGGGAGGGGAGACGTGCTGGCCTGGGGCCAGTCGGCTGTTCCACACAGCCCCTTCCTCTCCCCAGCCAGCAGCTGCGCCTCCTGCAGCCGTCCCATCCCCACATCCCCGAGGTGGGCGGCACTGACTTTCAGGGCATGATCGAGGCTAACCGGAAGTGGCTAGAACAGTACAAGAAGGACCCCAAGTCGTATCCTTTGGCTGGTCCCTGAGCCTTGGTCCGTTCCTGCTGTGGCTCCGGGGCTTGTGTTTGTGCCCTGGGGGGTCCAAGGACCACCCATGTGGCCTCTGGCCCTTCCCTGGATGCGCTTAGCTGACTGAGGAGTTTTCCTTCACCTCATGGCCAGACATCTCTTCTCTTCAGTGCCCAGGCCAGCAGCTACTTCCAGCTTCCAGCAGCTGGGCCTGGATGGGAATAGGCTGGACCTGTATCACTACTGAGGCCCGAGCCTCTCCTGCACCCGGCCCAAGTGCCTGAGGAGCTGCCTGCACTCTCTTCCTCCTGAGAAAGCAGCGTCCTGCCCCGGTTGCTGCCTGCCCCCCTCAGAGGAGCCACGGCTGGGTGGAAAGGATGGTATGACCGGTCCCCGTGAGCTGCTCCCCGAGTCCATACCTCTCAGGCTGCGAAGTGTGGGTGTCTGGGAGCTCCTGCGTGGACGAGGCAACGCTGGTGTGGGGCATCGGCGCCACGGGCACCTGCAGAGGAGGAGGAGGTATCAGGGTTGCTGCCTTCCAAGGGCCTCCCCTTGGATCCACAAGGCACTGAGTGCTGGGACCCCTGTGGTTATGTGGGTGTGGCCCTTAAATCACGAGAACAACGCCCCCCTCCCACCCCACCTCCGCCAATATGTCTGTACCCTGGGACCAGGCTCTAATACCTCAGCACCAGAGAGATCAGACCTCTTTTTTTTTTTTTTTTTAATGTCTCCTTTCTTGAGCACTTGGTCTCTCCTTTTGACTGTCTCAGGATCAGGCCCAGAGCCCTGCCAGAGGTTGCTGGAAGCTACCACCTCCCCCCAAACTCGACTGTTGGGCCTCCTTCTGCTGGCACAGGACTGCCCTCAGGGGTGCTCCCTTCCCTCAAGCTCCTCCCCGCTAGAGTCTCAGGGTCGCAAGCACACAACTTTCAGGAAGCCGCCAAGCCCTAGGAAAAGCTGGATGGCTTCTGGACCGCCCTGGGGAGAGTTGTGGGTGCTTGTTCCCACCCCTACGCCTCCTCCTCAGGGGCTAGGCTGCACCTGGCACTGGCAGGGAGGACTCTGAGCTCCCTGCAGTCTGCGCTTCCCAGCAGAGGACACGTACTCTGACATCTGTCCCGCTGTTGAGATCAAATGCCCCTGTGTTTGTCTTGAAAGCCTCAAAGTAGCCCTTGGCCCCTCTCCTACACAGACACCAAGTCTCTGGCAGCGCTCACTCATGCGTCAGGGACGAAGACACTGTGTACTCCTCCCCCGTACGTTATAGGCATCAGTCTGCCGTGGGGAGAAGAGTCCATTTTGTTATTAGGTCATCCTGTGTGCTTTGGGGCTAGCTCCCATGTTATAACCAACTCTGGTGGCAAGCCTGTATTTTCTACATCAATTAAATCTCTGCAGGTCCATTTGCTACAAGGCAGTTGTGTGAATGTGTCTCCTCTTTGAAGGCCTTTGCCTCCTTCCTCTTAATGAAGGAAGGAAGAAGTAATCTCCACAGACCGCCTCCTAGGTGTCAGATTTGGTCGCAAGACACCCGTCATCTAGGTGTACAGACAAGCCTGAGGTCCTGAATAAATGGCTGAGGCCCCTACAAAGCCAGAGCCCCCGCACCCCATCTCTGTGCCCCCAGAGCTCCCTGTCCTGCTGCGTCGGGAAGCCTCGGGAAGTGCTGATGTTCCCCATCTCTCCCCTCGACCCCTCCCTGCTCTGCCACCTACCAGCTGGAGGCTCACTGTACCATTTCCCAACGGCCACTTGGCCTTGGTTTCCCCATGCAGACAAATGAAAACTAAGCCCCCTGAAGTCCTAAGCTGGCAGAGCTGGGTGGGTTTTGTTTTCTGCTCCAGTGGTGTGAGCAGCCTACATAGTTTTGGACGTGTAGCAACAGAATTGCTAGGAGAACCAATTGAGAGTCTGTGTTTCATGGATTTGCATGAGAAAACCAGCTGAAAGAGGAAACAGCCTCCCCTGTGTCCTCGCTGCTCTGATGAAGGGACCGAGGAAAGATGCTAACATTTGTTAAGTACTTTCTATGTGCAAGTGCTTTTCAGGTATTCTCTCTTTTAACCCTCTTCACCCATGAAGTTGGTATTTATAGATGGGGAGCTTTAGGCTCAGAGAGGTTAAATGACTATGGCTGAAGCTTGCCCAGGATTTGAACCCAGACAGACATGTCTCTGAAAGCAGAGTTGTGTGGAGCCTGCTCCCTTAAATCAGCACCTTGTGGCCTTCTAACTCACAGGACACTGCTGGCCAGCTGGGTCTGAAGACCGGAGTCCCAGGAGGGAGTGGCTTCTAGCTGGGTGGGGGAAAGCCCCCTGGGCCAAGGAGTGCACAGGGACTTTCTTAGACGACTCCAAAACTGTCCCATGTCTCCCTGTAGAGATCTAGACTCTAGCTGGGTCGTCTCAAATCAGAGACCTCTATAACTCAACGGAACCTTGTAGATGACGGTTCAGCCACTCACGTTTTACAGTGGCAGAAACAGCCTAGAGAGATCATGTGAGTTACCCAAAGTTACAGTCAGTAAGGGACCTGAACCGGAGTCCTGACTCCCAGCCTGGGGCTTCAGGAAAGAGTGTTTTTAAAGGGATATGTATTTTGAAGATGCTTTATGTTCACAGGGCTCAGTATTCAAAAGATGTGAATGTCGGGCCATCTCTGGGCCAGGCTTGGCCTCGAAAATTCCTTCTGGAGATTATATGCAAATGCAAGAAAAGAAGGGGCAGTGTTTTGGTTTTCTTCCTTTTACTGGTGGGGTAGAGGTCTTTCCTAACCTAGGATCAGACAGTCTCCTAAAGCTCTTTTGTGAGATGTTCACTCAGTATTTTTTTTTTTTTTTTTTATTTCTAGGAGAGAGAGAGAGAGAGAGACAGCGTGAGCAGGGGAGGGTCAGAGAGAGAGGGAGACACAGACTCTGAAACAGGCTCCAGGCTCTGAGCTGGCAGTCAGCACAGAGCCCGACGCGGGGCTCAAACCCACGAACCGCGAGATCATGACCTAAGCGAAAGTCGGATGCTTAACCGACTAAGCCACCCAGGCGCCCCTGACTCAGTATTTTCTTAAGAGAGCAATGTTGGGAATAGTAGTCTGCCTGCTGTGAAAACGTCACACCGTATGGCAGCACTGGGAGCGGGGAAATAACCCTGGCCTCAGGACACCTGGCTTCACCCTTGGCTCTGACACCCACATGCTCTGTGACCTGAAAAAGCCCTTTCTAGGCCTGTGTCTCCCCTGGTTAAAACCTCAAAGCCTGAACCCACGTTGTAGGGATGCAGCAGGTGACATCCTTGGGTGGGGAGCTGCTCTTACCCACAGGGAGGCTGGAAGCCTCCAGTGGCCTAAAAGAGGCTCCGGTGGGGAGAGGGACTGATGTGGGTTTCTGGTCCCACCACCAGCTGGTTTTTTCTTTTTTTTGGGGGGGGCGGGTCCTGAGGAAGTGATGATTAACACATGGCGCCCCCGCTATCACCAGTGTCCTGAAGACTTGTAAAGTCCCTTTGTTCCTCCTTTCCCCTTGCGTCTCCTACCTCCCCCACGGAATTTGCCATCTCTAGCAGATAGGTTAGACAGGGCGCCCAACAAAGGGCAGTAGGACACCGCCTGCCATGGTGGGGGCGAGGGATGCCCGCGCTGGGGAGGTAGGAAGCAGGACAGTGTGAGAAGTTCCACTCTCACGATTAAAAGCAGAGGGGGCAGGAGTCAAACAAGGTTCCCATTTCGTTTTCTCTGTGCCTCACTTTTCATGTCTGTAGAACGGGATGAATAGTAGGACCTCTCCCCTAGAGTGGTTGGAAGGGGTAAGGAAGTTAATCCGTATAAAGTCCTCCAAACCATGTTTACCACGTAGTAAGAGCAGTAACGTCACCAAGATGGCAACATGGGTCATTCCTGACTTGGCTCCCCTTCGGAAGAACCCGTAACAACTATTCGTGAACAAGACACCACGGAGAGAACCTCAGGACACGGGGCTGAGGCTGAAGCACCGCCTGCGGCACAGAGACCGAGGCAGACGGCACTGGAAGAGAAACCGCCCCTTCCCCAGGCCCGCATAGCCCCGCACAGAGAGGTCCCCTTGGGCCCATGGTTCCTCCTGAGGGAAGGGAGTTCAGGGTAGACATCCAGCTTCCCCAGCATCGTGGGTCACTTTGTGGGAGCCTCTGCTGTGGTTTCAGCCCGAGGGGATTGAGGGGACTCTGCAACGTAAGCGGGAAGGGACTTCCAACAACCAGCACTTGGATCCGGGCCAACTAAGTTCGTGCTTGGAGGGCCCAGGGATGGTCTCAAGCAGTGGCTTTGCTCCTCTGCAAAACTAAGGGGTGCGTTCTGACCAGGGAACGAGGCGGGGCGCAGGTCTACCTGATCCACGTCCTCAGAGGAGGAGTTCGTAGGCTCTGCAGCCGGGGCTGCCCGTACCCAGGCAACAGTGCCGGGTCACAGCCCCACCAACGGCGGACTGTGGCTCCCAGCCCCTCCGGACCAGAAAGCCGGTTTGGGGAAGTTTGAGAGTTGCCTGAAGGGGGTCCTCCAAGTCCCGCTGAGGCAGGAGAACCGAGTCACGGCCCCGCTTGTTCTGGAGCATGGCCCTCGCCACATCTGACAGGAAGGGCTGGTGAGAACATCTAGAATCTGATGCCTAACCCAGCAACACTTGAGCCAGGAGGCGAGTGTGCAGAACTGGGCACACTCAGAGTAAAGCCGGGGCCCCTGTTGGCCCGGGGAAGCTGGGGCGTGGGTCAACTTCAGCCAAGACCACAGAGAGCCTTATGGCCTTGGAGCTGCTTTTCCCACTGCGCCTCAGCAGCGAGACTGATTCATAGTCCCACTTATAGCTGAATACAGCCTCAGCCCCTGACCAAGGAGCCTTACCGCCACACAGAGGAAGCTGCATGATCCACCCGGCAGCTCTGTGGACAGTGGCACTTGAACAGAAAGGGTAGCCCGTGGCTTTCGCTGTCTACAGAGCACACCTGGTGGATTTGTCTGATCAGAATATTCAGTGCACACTCTTGCCTGATTTGGGTCCCCAGACCATGAGCCATGCAGACCCTGGGTTCTGTCTTGCTGCTCAGCCAGGGCAGAAAGCTAATTCATAGCCTCACCTACTGCTAAGTATAGTACCCAGTTCTAGTAGGCCTGACCAGAGAATTCAGGCAACCATGGAGCTCACCCTACGGCCTCACTTGGGCAGGGGAGCAAGCCAGCAGGCCTATCCAGCTGTTTTCAGCCAGTGGAGTACCCACCGCCCTTGACCTCAGAGCTTAAACCGTTGCCTTGTCCAAAAATAGACCCTAAGAGCAGACTTCACGTGGCGAAGTCATTACCAGCAGACCTGTACAGAACCCTAAACTGAGTTGACTAGTGAAATGCTGCCTCTGCCAAATAAACCTGCAAAGTGTGGAAGAGGAGACCACTTACTCAAATGCAGTACCAACATAAGGAATCAAGGATCATGAAAAATCAGACAAATGTGATACCACTAAAGGAAGCTAAATAAAGCTTAACTTACTCTATAGAAATGGAGATCTATGCACTGTCAAAGAATTCAGAAGAATCCTTTGAAGTAGTTTAATGATCTATAAGAACACACAAATAAAACTAGGAAAACAATTCGTGAGCAAAACAAGAAGTTCAACAAAGAAACATAAACCCTCAGACCCAAACAGAAATCCTAGAGCTGAAAAAAAATACAATAACCGCACTGAAGAATTCAGTTAAAGCTTCCAAAGTGGACCCAACCAGGCAGAAGAAAGAATCAGTGACCTGGAGGGTAGGACGTTTGAAATTGTCCAGAGGAGCAAAAAGAAAAAAGAGTGAAAAAAATGAAGAAAACCTGTGGGACTTATTAGGATACAATGAAAAGACACAATATTCACATTATGGCATTTCCAGAAGAAGAGAAAGGTCCAGAAACTGTATTTAAAGCAATAATGGCTGAAAAGTTCTTAAACATGGGAAAAGAAATAGACCTCCCGATCCAAAAGGTCCAGAGGATGCCAAATAGGAACCCAAACAGAGCTACCCTGAGACACATTATAAATCACTAAAAGCGAAACCCAGAATTTTAAAAACAACAAGGTATATATAAGTGGCCCTCCATGGGATTTTTGGCAGATTTCGCAACAGAAAATTTTCAGGCCAGAAGAGAACTGGATGGTATATTCAAAACATTGAAAGGAAAAATCTGTGAACCCAAAAGACTATACCCAATGAAGCTGTTCTTCACAAATCAAGTAGGGGTAAAGCCTTTCTCACACAAATGTTGAGGTAACTCACTACCAATAGACTTGCCTTACAGGTGGAAATAAAAGGACACTAATATCAAAAACATAAGGCAGTGTAAAATTCAGTGATAGTGGCAAATATGTAGTCAAAGTTAGATTCTATAATATGATAATGGTGGTGAATAATTCACTTACAACTAGGGTTTAAAAGTTAACAATGGAGTTCTGGTCTAAGATGGCAGTGCTGGAAGATGGCAATGCTGGAAGATCCTGAACTCACCTCCTCCATGGACACACCAAATCCACACCTATTTATAGAGCATTTCCTTTGGAAGAAGAACTGAGGGCTGATTAAATAGCTTGCACAACAAACGAGAGAGGCCATATAGGAATGGCAATAGAGAAGGAGACACAGTTATAAAAGGAGGCCCCAACCCCTGTGCTGTGAGCTGCAATGGGAGGGATAGGACTGAAGGACCTGCAGCAGATTCATCTGCCCTGGGGCATAGAAGAAAAAAACCCACAGTTTTAAAGGGCAACTAGAATAAAGGAACCACCCCCTAGGACCCTGCCAAATGGCTGGCGAGCTATTAGACCTCTCCCTGGGGGGGGAGGGGCTTGTGAGCACCACTGTCTACATTCCCTCTCAATCTTGATAGCATGAATGGGAGCAAGATCTGGG